TAAAGGAAAACAAACCGAACAAGTATCCACTCCCAGTATCGGACAAAAAATGGGTACTTTTAAACACAAAAACCCTTACAATGGTCTATAGTAGGTATATAGTAGTGGTCTAATAAAAATACCCCTTGGACCTTTTTGAATAGAAATACGTTTCAGCCATACAACAGCGAATTTTGCCGAACATGTTAAAAGAAACTGTCTTACGCTTAATATATTATAAACTTTGAAAATAAGGCTATTATCGAGCACAAGTTAATTAAATCTAGCCCAAGTACTTTCGCTTAAAATAGCATCTTCAGGGGCATTTCGTCAAAATAAGAACTATCCGGCAAGCGTAGAATGTGGAAACATTAAAAATAACATAAATTATACAAAAACACTACACTAAAACGAGGACAAACAGTTTAAAATTAATTCTACGCTACATTCTCTGTCAGTATCTGGATGGATAATGGATGGATCAATCCAGATACTGACAGAGAATGTAGCGTAGAATTAATTTTAAACTGTTTGTCCTCGTTTTAGTGTAGTGTTTTTGTATAATTTATGTTATTTTTAATGTTTCCACATTCTACGCTTGCCGGATAGTTCTTATTTTGACGAAATGCCCCTGGAGATGCTATTTTAAGCGAAAGTACTTGGGCTAGATTTAATTAACTTGTGCTCGATAATAGCCTTATTTTCAAAGTTCATTTATTCGAGCATTCAACCTCATTTCATTTAATATATTATATATTAGTTCGCGCCCTATTTTTTAATTTTATGCATTCTTTGTTTTATCGTTAAAACCACAAGTGATAAAAAAACTACATTTAAAATTATAATTTTTATGATTATTATGTTATTTATAGTACCCAACCTTAAGTAAAATTTTTATTTTCAATTGTGTTGGTTTTACCGTCTTCTTAGCAATTGAAATTTAATTTATATAAGTTTTAACATTAAAAATCATGGTATCTGATATATACCTAATATTAGACTACAACAAACCCATGGAACATTTTTAAGGGGTCATTTGAACCAGCATTAATCACATATAAATCAATACTAGAATATGTAATAACAACTGTAGAAACTATGCCGTCAATTTTTATCGGTACTTGTGACTACAGCAATTACTACAGCAACAACTACAGCAAAATGATGACCTGCGACCTAATGCTGTACAAAAATATTGGTATCAGTAGCAGAGACAATCTTATGATTTTCGGAAATCGGAAAATTTTGACCCCCTTTTCGACAATTTGGTACAGTACGGCATTCTTAAACGCCGTCTACACTCTCGATCGAAGTTCTTCGGACGAAGTGTCGAAGTGAAGTTAATCGAGGCGAGGGAACTCTCTACATACTCGTGAAGTCGAATAATGTAGTGTGACACTTCGTATTCGAACTTCGGGCTCTTTGACTCGGACGCGAAAAACCCACACAGAACGGAAGTAGAACGAAGTACCAACGAAGTCGCATGAAGTACCTGTCTATACTCTCGTACTAGCTGAACTTGGATCAACTTCGCGAGTAGTATAGTGGACAAGAATCTGGGTACACCTCAGTAATATCTGCCTGAAAGCTTCACGCAGTTTGGTATTTGTTGTCGTGTAGTAAAAATTATGCGGAACAGTAAAACTTTATTACAATTAAATTAAAAGTTTAATTCAACAAAGAAAATAATACATAACAAATGACGGTATTATATTTTGATTTGATACAGAGCAGCAACAAGCCGCATATACGTATTTCGATCTCTTTAGATCTCCTCAGTACGGTATAGTTACTACTCCATATCAAACCAAAATATTTTTCCGTCGTAGATTATATTTATTAAAAATAGCTATTTACGGACGTAACTACGCCATCTAAGAACAAAAAGAGAAATCATACGATTTCTACCTGGCGAAATCGAATTCAAATATAGGCCGCCGTGCTCCCTAAGACTTGCGAAGCAAACAGCTTGATGAATGCATCGGCAAGGGAGTCTAAAAATCAAATCAAAATATAATACCGTCATTTGTTTTGTTTATTTACTTCATTTGGAGTACCAGAAATCGAATTCACTACGAATATAGGCCATGATGAACGGCATTTGGAGTGCAATTTTAGACTCCCTTGCCGATGCATTCATCAAGCTGTTTGCTTCGCAAGTCTTAGGGAGCACGGCGGCCTATATTTGAATTCGATTTCGCCAGGTAGAAATCGTATGATTTCTCTTTTTGTTCTTAGATGGCGTAGTTACGTCCGTAAATAGCTATTTTTAATAACTATAATCTACGACGGAAAAATATTTTGGTTTGATATGGAGTAGTAACTATACCGTACTGAGGAGATCTTCTTCTTCTTCGGGTTCCTTCTCCTAGCGGAGGTTGGAAATAATCATCGCTATTTTAACTTTGTTGGCCGCATTTCTGAATAATTCTAATGAGCTGCAGCCGAACCACTCTCTCAAATTTCTTAGCCAGGACATTTTGCGTCGTCCTGGGTTTCTCTTCCCTTGTATCCTCCCTTGCATAATCAACCTCAGTAATACGTACTTCTCACCCCTCATTAAATGTCCCAGATATTGAATCTTTCTAATTTTAACAGTTTTTATGACTTCACATTATTTCTTCATTCTTTGTAACACTTCTATATTAGTTACTTTTTCAATCCACGATATTTTATGCATTCTCCTGTAGCACCACATCTCAAAGGAGTTTAATTTTTTGATTTCAGGCTGCTTTATTGTCCACGCTTCCATGCCATATAGTAAAGTAGAGAAGACGTAACAACGTAGCATTCTTGTGCGAATCTCTAGATTAAGGTTACGGTTGCAAAGTAATTTCTTCAATTTTATGAACGTGTTTCTTGCCATTTCTATTCTAGATCTGATCTCCTTTACTTGATCTCCATCTTCGGTTAGCCACGTTCCTAAATATTTATATGTTTTTTACTCTTTCTATAGTTGTATTATTGATGATCAGGTTATTTACATTTTGTGGTTTTTTTTGAGAATATCATTGATTTCGTTTTCTTGAGATTCATTTGCAGTCCGTAACTTTCACATGCATTGTATACATGTATTATGTACTGTAGATCGTCCATGTCACTTGCAAATATGACAGTATCGTCGGCATATCTAATATTATTAATGCTATTTCCGTTGACATAAATACCTTCCACGATATCCAATAAAGCCTCTTGAAAAATCACTTCACTGTAGACGTTGAATAAGAGTGGTGAAAGGATACACCCTTGTCGAACTCCTCTAAGTATACTTACTTCCTCTGTCAGTTCTCCTTCGACTCTTACTCTTGCTTTCTGGTTTTGATACAGATTCGATATAATTTGTAGATCTCTACTATCAATGTTTTTAGTCTTAAGAATACTTAAAAGCTTCTCATGTTGAACTCTATCAAAAGCTTTCTTGAAATCTATAAAGCAAGCATATATGTCCTGATTCATATCCAGGCATCGTTGTGTCAGAACATGGACTCCAAATAATGCTTCTCTAGTTCCTAGACCCTTTCCGAAACCCATCTGTGAATCACTTATTTCTTGTTCTAATTTCATGTGGATTCTGTTATGTATGATTTTAAGGAAGGTTTTCAATGTGTGGCTCATTAACGCAATTGTTCGATAGTCATTGCAATCTTTAGCATTTGTGATTGTTGGAATCGTCACAAAAGTTGAGAGAAGCCACTCTTTGGGTATGTGTCCCGTCTTGTATATGGAGTTAAAAAGGTCTACCAAGACATCAATATTATCTTCATTAATTATCTTCAATAGTTCAATTGGTATTTCATCGGGTCCTGGAGCTTTTCTGCCTTTTGTGTGTTTTATAGCATACATAACTTCTTCTTTCATTATTTCTGGTCCCGTGGTTTCTCCGTTAACTTCTAATAATTGTTCTACTTTTTGATCATAAAATAGTTGTTCAATGTATTCTTTCCATCTACGTAGTTTGTCTTGCGTTTCAGTTATAGTGGTACTATCTGCATTTTTAATATCCCGATTGGTTTGTTACGATTTCCTGAAATCATTTCTTTAACCTTCTTATGGGTGTTGAAAGTGTCATACCTTGCCTCGCATTCTAAAGGAGGAGATCTAAAGAGATCGAAATACGTATATGCGGCTTGTTGCTGCTCTGTATCAAATCAAAATATAATACCGTCATTTGTTTTGTTTATTTACTTCATTTGGAGTACCAGAAATCGAATTCACTACGAATATAGGCCATGATGAACGGCATTTGGAGTGCAATTTTTAGACTCCCTTGCCGATGCATTCATCAAGCTGTTTGCTTCGCAAGTCTTGGGGAGCACGGCGGCCTATATTTTAATTCGATTTCGCCAGGTAGAAATCGTAAAATAATACATATTTCAAAATAAATAAATAAGGTCCCTACTTGAACAACAATCTGATGGCTCAGAGTGATGTCACTGTAAAGGGAATAGAAAAATTCACTTATACATATAAAATATATAAAATAAAACAGTCTAAATTCATTTTTAACACATTCATGGACACGCTTCATATGCAGATACGTCTGTTTATGCAGTAAGTGTCTACATAAATATGCAGTCGTGTCCGTGAATGTGTTAAAAAAATGAAATTTGTATTATTCGACAAGTGAGAGCTGGCGGGTGAGCTGCGCGAAAATAGAAAAGGAATTATTCTAAGAGAGATAGGAGAGGTACTTAATCGCGGGTGTCACAAATGCGTAATTGCCGTATTAAAAATTTAGTTGGGATCTGAAAATTACGTTAATAGATATGTTTCGTGGTTGTGTCATTGCGTGTGTGATAAACTTATTGACTTGACAACACTGTCAGAAATCTAGCACTAATTACACGATGTGAACTCCTAGCCGACTGCAATAGAAGTGAGCAATCCCTTCCACTTTTTAATTTGTTCTACGCGCAACCCGCCAGCTCTCGCTTGTTGGATAATACTGATATCTTCAGAACTTTAAAATGACATGAAGTTACCAAGTACTTATTTTAATAACACAAACAATATTATTATAGGTACTATGATACCAAAATCTGGAGGAGACTATGCTTACATCAAAGAAGCTTTCGGGTCCCTTCCGTCGTTTTTATACCTTTGGGTAGCCCTATTTGTTTTGGTGCCCGTAGGGAACGCTATAACGGCAATCACATTCGCTCAATACATTGTACAACCATTTTGGGGCACTTGTCCAGCGCCGTACGAAGCTGTGCGACTGCTAGCTGCAGCTACTATTTGTATTTTAACGGTGAGTATATTTTTGGTACTATGAGAAACAAAAAAAAATAGTAAGTTACATTTACATTGACCAATCAAAAGGATAATTTCTTAATTATTTCTTGCATACATTTGGTTGGGGTTTTCTATTATTAGTTTAGTTTAGTTTTCTCGTATACGTACATAATGTACAAATGTACATATGCCGTCTTAGAACGTCTTTCGATATTGTCCGACTCATTGCCTTCATTTTCTCCTTCGTCCCAATTGATCAAATTCCCCTTCGTTGGCTCAGTGAAGATGTTCGTTCAGTTGCAATGGAAACACAAAATAATAGTAGCAGAGTTTATTGACGAGACGTACACTACGGGTGTTGACCCGGGATTACTTTGAGTAGAGACTGTTGCAGTTGAGCGATGAAGACTATCACGTTTGTTGAGTGAATATTGATTGAATGCTTCTCTAGACATTCAATCAATGTTTTTATTTCACAAAATGTCATTGAGACATTTTTCTGTTGGTATTTCTTCTCCTGTTTGTTTATTTTCTGTTCCAGTTGATTTACAATTTACTCCTAGAAAGTTATAATCTTCGCAGTGTGTTATTGTTTTACCATTTTTTAATCGTTCTCCAGCAGAACACGTTATGACGATCTCGTTTAAGGTTTTCGCCCAAAACTTTCTCTTAAAGGTAAGGCTTTTTTTGTTACGGGGGTTTAGAGGTTCTAAACATACATATTGTGTTATGATGGAGATATGTGGTAGACTTTAGAATAGAAGGATTATCAGCTCTCAATTATTGCTCAGAAGGTGAACTGCTACTATTTTGCTCCATTTTGGGTTTTAGGAACGGCTCTTAAATAAACAGTTTTGACAATTGTAAGTTATTTTCTGCGATAAATTAGAATTGATTCGACTATTTTACTCATAAGGGGTTCTTTTTCTGCTAAATTCAGAAGTTTATCTGGCAGGAAGGGAATTTTAGTTTTAGCATGCCATGCCACGTGTACGGTAGCATAACATGTTGTTTTAAGGACATCCTTTGCTCTGTTTGAACTTTCGATAGTTCGTAGAACGTATCTTTTGCTCGGGCTTTGAATCCAATATTATATAGTAGAGATATTCGCCAGTTAGAGTATTAATGCTGACGGATAATCGCGTTTTTTACCCATGATTCTCTTCTGGATATTCCTCTCCGTGTCCATGATTTGGTTCATTTCAAGTTTATTGTGGGTAAGGTAGATTCTGGATCTGTATTCGATAATTGGTCTTATACAAGTTTTGTATGTGTGGAGAAGAGTACACTGTAATGACTATAGATTAATTTGCTTAATGTCATACTTATTGAAAACATTTTTAAAGAAAACATGCAAGAATATTCAGAAACTGCGAAGTGGATATGAATAATAGACAGTTTGGCTTTCGTAACGGCTTCGGAACAGTGGAAGCTCTGTATAGTTTCACAACTCTTGCCCAAAAATGTCGAGACCAACAAAAAGATCTTTTCGTTTCGGTTATAGACTATGAGAAAGCTTTCGATAAAGTTAAACATAAAATTCTCATGGAATGTCCAAAAAGAAAAGGACTCGACAAAAATGACATTAACATAGTGAGAAATCTCTATTAGAATGAACAGGCTGATAACAATTTGTGATACTGGGGAACAGTTTGGTTTAACAATAAACATAAAGAAAACAAATACCATGGTTATCAGTAAGAGAGGCAAAGTCATTACAAGGATCCAGATAAAAATAAAGATGTTGAGCAAGTGGACAAAATGAAATATCTAATGAAATTTGCAGGCTGCATCTAAGCAAGAGCAGGCTTTTTGAAGATGAGGAAATTTCTGAGTAACCAAAGACTCAATTTGCAAATCCGATATCGGATGGTAAAATGTTATATCCACTATATTCTTCTTTCTTTTCTGGTGTCGAAGCCTGGACTGTTAATGTTGACTTAATGAGAAAACTGGAAGCTTTTGAGATGTGGCTTTTTTGGAGAATTTTAAGATACCATGGGCCGATCATATTACGAACAAGATGGTGTGGCACAGAATGGGAAGAGACAGAGACCTTTTGACCACCATTAAAAGGCGAAAGACACCATATTTTGGGGCACATACTTAGAAATGATAAGTACGAGTTTTTGCAACTGATTATGAAGGGTAAAATTTAAGGAAAAAGGGGTTCTGGTAGATGACAAATATTCTGGCTGAAAAACATTGGAGATTGGACCGGGTTAAACACACAGACGCTCTTAAGAAAAGCAGAAGATAGAGACGAAATCTACCACTTAATACTTTTAGGAGATTGGCTCTGTTTCGTACCCTGTAGAGAGCGTTTTTGGGATTAATGAACAACAATAATCCATCTAGGGTCATTGGAACTAAATCAAAACGATTATAAACAGCTCGAAACTTAAAAGATAACAATCGAAAACGCAACAGTGGATGGACGATGAGATTTTGAATCTAATGAAGAAAAGATGCAAATTTAAGAATCAAAACGTCGATATATATAAACGAATTAATAAGGAGATAAGGACTAAAATACGAATTGCAAAAGAAACATATTTCGAAAATAAATGTTTGAAAATTGAAGAGTTACAGGGAAAACATGATTCATTTTATAGGTACAAAAAAAAAAAAAGAAGTAACGGGTCAGTACAAAAAACAAACAAATAACATCATTGATAGGGACGGCAAACTGATTATCACTGATTTGGATAAAATGGAGAAATGGAAAGAATACATTGAGGAACTATTTAATGATGAAAGGCACAATCTTGAAATTAAAGAAGTAGTAACTGACAGGGCCTGACATAACTATGCAAAGACCAGAAAAGCGACGGGCCGGGTGAAATATAGAGTGAAATAATAAAGCTCTTCGAAAGTTCAGGTAAATGATCTTTACTTCATCTTTTTTAATAAAATTTATGACCAACGGAGAAAGCTTTTGATCAAGTAAAACATACTGAAATTATAGCCATTCTTCAGCGGGTAAGCATTGATGATGATGACCTACGTATCATTTAAAATCTTTACTGGCATCAGCCTGCAAACATTAGGATTGGCCATGATAATTCTGAGGAGCTTCAAATACGATGGGGAGTAAGACAGGGCTGCATTTTGCCCCCACTAATATTTATCATCTATTCGGAGTTCGTTTTCAATAAAGCATTGGATGTTGTTCATTATGGTATCAAAGTTAGTGACATAGTATTGATAATTTGAGGTATGCGGATGACACGGTGTTATATAAGGAAGCTAAACACCACAAAGACAAAGGTAATGGCTGTCGGTAAAACGCCAATACAACCCGAAGATAACAGCTTATGGAGAACAACTAGAGAGAACCAACAATATTACTTATCTTGGTTGTTATCTAAATGAGAACTGGGACACAATCAAAGACATAAGAATATGTACAGAGAAAACCACAGCTGCATTTGGTAAGTTGGAGAAAATCTTATATGGAAACACTATTACTTTGAGACTGAAAATTAGATTAGTAAGATGTTATGTGTTCTCTATTCTTTTATATGGTGTCGAAGGTTGGATACACTTCTAAGAAAACTGGGTGTATCGGAGAATTCTGCGAATAAGCTGGGTAGATAGAGTTTGTAACGAGGTTGTTTTGCAGCAGATAGGAAAAGTTCAGAGGGACTGGGAGAAGAGGTCAGAACAGTCAAGAATCGCAAACTGGAGTATTTTGGTCATGTTATGCGTCACATACGTTAATTTAACGGAAATCTTTTATTCTTATTTACTATATCTTCCTTTGTGAACTTTCTGTTTTTTAATTTAATAGGTTGTCATCAAAACATTATTTTAATATTTCTTCTTTCCTTTTGCAGGCTATTAATTGCTATAACGTTAAATGGGTAACACGAGTCCAAGGAATATTCACAGCCACGAAAATGTTCGCACTTGGAATTATTGTGATTGCTGGAATCTACTATGCTTGTTTGGGTCATGTGGAACATTTTCAAAGGCCTATGCAAGGATCGAATTGGGATCCAGGCCATATTGCACTCGCATTCTATTCGGGATTGTTTTCCTATTCCGGTTACAATTATTTAAACTACGTTACAGAGGAACTTAAGGATCCCTATAAGTATGTATAATAAATGTAGTGCTAATTTTATTTTTTTATTAGTTGCAAATATTAAAGCTTTAAGATTCGCTGTTGACGTTAATTAAAATATTAAAAATATCACACTCACTAACAATTAGATCTAAATAAGTTGAAATGAACATGATGAACTGTCGCAACAAAGTCTAAAAATTTTAACTTTTAAGTTTAGTACCAATCAACATTTAGGGTGCGGGATGCGAACAATTTGTCGTCGAATTCGCTGTTTTGGCTTTTTTTTTATTTCGCCCACACTGCATGGTATCTTTTTTTCCTGAATATCAATCGTCTTAAACGGTACAGAGAACGATTGGTTTAGGACCAGGAATATTCCGCACTGTTGGGGTTATAGTGGGGGTGCCATCGCTTGTGGTTCAAGCTTTAATATTCGTCAGAGGAAACATGACAACTCAGCGATACGTATAACAAATTCTGGAACCTCACAAACTGCGACAGTCACCATAGATTTTTTGGAACAGACTGCACTCATTCCTTTGCCTTGGCCTGATTGATCCTGAGACTTTGGGAGCACTTCAAGGGGAGTTAATTATGGCTTGAAACAATAAAATCCGTAAGGGTATTGACCACCTAATCAGAAGCGAGCTCAGACGCATCCAATATTGTATTGGTCACCAAGATGCATCAACACATTATTAATTGATTTACTGTGTAATACTAATGCCGCACCCTGTATATATATATATATATATATATATATATATATATATATATATATTCATTTCCACAATTCAACCTGATTATAGTAGTACTCTGTCACACCTTCTTTTTCTATTTATAAATAGTATTCTGTCCAAATCTCAATTTGTCTTAATATATTTTTTTGGAAATTGAAAAAAATATTTGCACAAATATTACTACTACGAGCTCCTTCCCATATCAGTTTCCCTACCTATGAAATTTGCAGTTTTAAGTCGATTACCATAAACAAATTATATTCCGCATATTTTTATGCTATATACTAAGTCTCCATTAGCTTAGCGTATTTCGCAGTGTTTAGTACGCTACACCACATGGAGGCAGTGTAGGTTACCACCGATTGAAAAACTCCATTTAGCACCTTTCTTTAGATGCTACCTGGGCTTCCAGTGTTTGGCATCAGCCGTATCAATGCCTCCAGATTTTGGTTCGCCTTCTCTACCGTCTTTTCGATGTGTACTCCGAACCTTAGTCCTTCCAACAACTAGACTCCCACATACTTAATCGATTTAACTGGTGCAACCTCCTCACATTCCACTATAAAGCAAAGAGAGGATTTTCCCGGCTCCCTTTGACAACTAACACCTCAGTTTTCTGAGGCGCTAGCTGTAGATCGTTCTCTCTGATCCACCTACTAATGCGACGCAGGGCTGTATTAGCCGCATTAACCATGTCCATTTTCTGACTCGCCATTGTAACCAGTGCGAGATCATCGGCATAAGCTACAGGAGTGCACTCCTGTAGCATCTGTAGCCTCTACACCCTGTCGTACAGGATATTCCACAGGATGGGACCTAGTACTGAATCCTGCGGAACACCCTGCGACAAACTGATACTGTTATCTTTATCTTTTATGGACCTGTCAGTAAAGTATCTCAACTCAGTAAAAGGTTTTGCATAACCATTTCATGCCTATCCTCCACCTGAGGAAAGAGTTTCCGTATTAAACGGAGTTTCTCCTCCTCAGGCAGGGGGTAGGGTGTCTTTTTCTCCTTCAATTTGGTACAGACAATCTTGAAGCCCTGCTCTCAGATATCCCTTTCGAGATCCTGAAGCAGGTTACTCCACCTTTCTTTCTTAGATCTTCTTATCTCATTCCTGTATTCATTCTGCATTCCTTCTCTTTCAAATCTTCTGCTTGTACTCTTCTTAATCTCTTATACTCCCCTCTTACTCTCATGCAATTTGTCCTCAAATTTTCAAGTTGCTCGTTCCACCAGTATGGTTATTTTCTTTCATACCTCTCATTTGATCTTACACAAGCCAACTCCTGTGCATCACTCAGATTTTCAATTAACACGCACATCCCGGGCCAATCAAGCCAAAAGCATCTACAAAAACCTCCTCATTTAAACATCTCTTTATATTGATATCCCCATTTTTACGTTTCTGTCTTTTGCTAGCTATTTCAAAACTGATACTTGTGTAAGCTGAGCGATTCTTCTTCCAGTCCAGCTTACGACCCTGTTTAGAACCCTGTTTATAAATGTCGTTGAAGCCAGAGTAAAATCCAGAAAGGATTCACTATTACCACTCACGAATGTAGGTGCCTTACCGTCATATAACACGGTAAGCCCCATGGCGTGGATCCATTCAGATAGGTATTTCCCTCTCCCATCTTGTACTCGTGGGTTCCATGGACGATCCTTCGCATTCAGGTCACCAGTTATGACGACCAGTACAGTCTCCATCCTAGCCTCTTGCATAATCGAGTCTTCATATACGGTAGCTATGCAATGCTGCAAGCTAGCAAATGTATTTTGTAGTATTGTAAGGCTTTTTGCCGTTTGTGGATTGTACAATGGGTCGAGGTAAAGTTATCGATGAAAAAATTTGTTCAATCATTATTAGATTTTTTAATTCTGGAAAATCCAATTCGGAAATCGCGAATATGTTGCAATTGTTACCCTATAGTGTTACCGATTATGGAACACCGTTTAACATGAGCGGAAGATTTTGTCTTCCAACAGGACGGCGCTGGTTGCCGTACCTCAAAAAACAGTTTAAAAAGAATTTAAAACCATGGCATACCACTTCTGGAATGGGTTTCTAACAGTTCCGACTTATCCCCGATAAAGACTTTGTCGCTTGAAATGAAAAAAGCTTTGAGAAAACATTCTGCCAGGTCCGTCAACGAATTGAAGGAAAAATTACAAGAAATATGGGATTCGTTTACATTAGAATTTTGTCAGAATTAGGTTAAAACTATACCTTGAAGAATTGTGGATGTGATTAAAAATAAAGGGAATAGAACTCAGTGGTAAACTTTCACATTTTTTTTTGTTAATATTACATATTCTATGCGATTTTTTTAAATTCATTGTTTTTCTGTTTAATCAATAGTTTTCGTTACGTTATAAAATATTTTCTATAATTAGGGAATTCAAAAACGTTGTTCGATGCATTAAACTTCTAAAATTTACGCTGCGCTTTAATTTTTGTTCTCTAAAATTTTATGTTCATGTCTTGCTCTTCTAACACATATAAAACAAATATAAAACAAACACAAACTTTCTAACAAATATAAAATGTTCATGTCTTGCTCTTCCAACACTGTACCTAATAATATAAATGAGTTTAAAACCGTAAAATAATTTCAAAACACAATTCAGATTTCCGCTTTAATCTGTGCTTTCTAAAAATTGCAAAGCAAAATAGACGTTGATAAAGGTGTTAAAAGAGACGTGGGGAATCTAAAATTTGCATTCCACGACACGTCCTTTCAACTAAGCAGAAATCCTTAGCGAATTGATTTCTTGTACTCGTACAGAGTAGATCCGAATAAAGTGAAAAAGACAGCAAATATTTGATTTCACGCAAACAGCGCCTTTGTATCTGTTAGGAGAACACCTTTGAATAACTGTTCTGATGAGACCTATTAGGTCGAAATACGTATCAACAGATACAAAGGCGCTGTTTGCGTGAAATCATATATTTGCTGTCTTTTTCACAATAAATGAGTTTGCTTACAATGCATTTGTTAATTTAAAAGTAATTTTGACGTTTATACAAATTTGTTTTAGGAATCTTCCCAAAGCCATCTGTATATCCATGCCGGTAGTAACAGTCGTATATGTTGTCACAAACATAGCATACTTTATTGTATTGAGCAAAGATGACGTTTTGGCTTCGGAGGCTGTTGCAGTGACTTTTGGTGATAAAATTTTAGGCATGTTTTCTTTCATCATGCCTTTGTTCGTCGCTTGCTCAACATTTGGCTCGCTAAATGGAGCGATATTTGCTTCCTCGAGGTTGTTTTATGTAGGAGCAAGAGATGGTCATTTACCTCAAGCTATCTGTTTGATTTCTGTGAAAAGGTTGACACCTGTCCCGTCATTAGTATTTTTGGTAAGTAATACTTAACTTGAATAATAATACTATACTCTGTTTTTTAACCAGGAGGAGTAAACCAAAAAGGCAGATTCACACCCAAGAAAGTTACTAGAAAAGTCACCAAATACATCTTCTTTTTTTGTTGATTATCTCGGCCTTGCGGTAATCGAGTTATCAATATCGGACAACCTTACAGGTCAATTCTTTTCTGACCTAACTTTGTTTATTTATCTTTGAATAATAATTCTTTTCAATTCACTACTAATATATATTACAATTATTACAATAAAAAAGGACCTTTTTCAGATTTGGTATCATGTATAATATATATTTAAATATCGGATGATCCAGTTTTATAGATCTCTTGAGCCTATTTTGCTATTTAATTATAATTTAGAGAATATTTTGATCGGGAGAGTCATATCTAAGTATGGTTTTTCACAGAAATTTGTCTTTTATTTTGCAAATAGACCTTATATGCAACAAAGCTATGCAAATGCATTTATCAAAAAAGAGAGAGTTCAAAGATTTCCGAAATACTGTTCTTTTAAGACTGTCTAGACCATATTCTTATTCTGATGCGATCAATTTCGTGAATCTAGGTTTTTTTTCTTACCAGAAGAGTTAACTTTGACTTTGATCATTGTTTTAAGCTTAATAATCCAATCTTCTGAGTTGCTTCAGCCAATTTGTTTTACATATTCCTTCCCGTTCGCTGCTTTAGAATTCACTTTTTCGTGTTTCCCATCACAGAATAAATTATGGTTCAAATATAGGTGTGATCCTACTTTTCATGCATGGTAATCAGTTACCTTATTAGATAGATTTGTTTAACTTATGTATCAATATCTTTAGGTTTTATTTGAATCACTAAAATGCATAAAGATACTTTGTATAAATAAGTGTGAACATGTAATTTCTTTAATGCTGAATTCTTGTTTAATTTTGACTTATTTGTTATCAATAAATTTTAAAAAATACTGGATTTCTGTGAGATAATCAACAAATTCAATCTATTATGTTACATCCTAGCATAATTTTGCAGTTTTCTTGTGATGATTTACAACCAGGAAGAACAAAACCAACTGTATCAATACAATCAAACTAAAACACAACATTACTTTTCCTTACTGTTCCAGTCTGTTTATATTCTTTAACTGTTCGGTAAATAGTTTAATTCGCAATACCTAAAATTAGCACATTGCTTTAGTAAGTCCAGATTTTAACAATAACTATTCTACAAAACTAACCTGCAGCCTGTTTTATTTTTGCTACCTTAACAGCTTTGTGGCTGTTATTTTTATTCCAGAATTATCAATTTTCATTTGTTTGTACCTGTTTATAATACATTGTTTCTCATTTGATGATAAATGACCCAAATCTACTCGGCGCTTTTAAGGTGGAGAAGAATAATTACCACTAGTAGTTGGCATTGAATCCATATTGTTATCTTAATAAAACTAATATGCCGCTAAATAGTTCTGAAAAGAACTGTTTTTTATATAAATGCAAACGAAAAATGTAATAATGTAAGATATACCGCAGAAAATACAAAAAATCGTTGATATAAATTTTGAATTTTAAAATTTCACAAATGTCATTAGTGTCAATATGTCATAATTTAGTGGAGTAAACTTGCCTGCGGTTGGACCAATTACAAACAAGCATTACGGCGCGAAAAATTTGAATTACTCCTCCTGGTTAAAAAACAGACCATAATAACTTGAATATAAACAGTGGCGAATCGATTAATATAATGAACCAGCGAAATAATTTGTAATTAAGTAATAGGTGGTGGCTTTTAGACTGAAATACCGATGGTGGGCATTTCAGCCATTTTTCAAATCAAAATGTCATCAAAATGACATTAATGTCCTAGTAGTTATCAATATGTGGCTTTATCGCCGTATCCTAAAAATACCATGGACAGCGAAAATCACAAATATAGATGTCCTTAAAAGAATAAACCAAGAATGCCAACTCTTCGAAACCATCAAGAAAAGGAAAACTGCGTATCTAGGTCACATCATGCGAAATGAAAAATACCAGTTCCTCCAACTTATAATCGAGGGTAAAATTGAAGGCAAGAGAGGAATGGGACGCAAGAAAATGTCCTGGCTCCGAAACATAAGGCAATGGACAGGGATTAACGACATACAATCTCTGATACATATTGCAAGAAATAGAGAATTAATGGAAAATGTGATCGCTAACATCCATTAGTGGATTTGCATCCGAAGAAGAAGAAGTTAACAATATAAATGTTGTTTATAAACTACTTCAGTCGCCAGAGACTTTTCGTCTCTGGCGAGTGAAATAGTATCATTCTCTCTCCTGATACTGACAAAGAATGTAGTGCGTAGAATCTTTTTAAGTAATTTTAAACTGTTTGTCCTTGTTTTAGTGTAGTTTTTTTGTACAATTTTATGTTATCATTCATGTTTATCACATTCTACGCTTGCTGGATAGCTCATACTTGACGAAATGCCCCCGAAGATCCTATTTTAAGAGAAAGTACTTGGGCAAGATTTAATTAAACTTGTGCTAGATAATAGCCTTATTTTTTAAAGTTCATTTATTCGAGTATTCAACCTAATATCAATTAAAGAAGAAGAATAACCTGTTTAAAAAACACAGCATATATGTACAGCTGTTTCGCGTTACTGCAGAAGAAATAAATATTGCGATAATGATCGTCAATATTCGTCACGGATAGGCACATCAAGAAAAACTTGTCCAATGCTGGCGCCGTCGATTTCTAATCTGTTTTACTTTGTAAAAATATATATTTTTTAATAAGCTTAAATAAACATGAATTATTAACAATATGAAATTTGGGTGTGTAGTATTCTTTAATATGAGATAATAAATGCCTTTAATAAACATCCAAAGTAAATATTTCAACTATCAAAGAAAAAAATTGCCATGACCCTAGCAGCCAAAAGAACGATTAGATAATGACCTGCTGTTGGCACTGATGTTTTCATAAATATTTACTTTCTTTTATATATCTACGTCAGTATTCTTATCATAAGGTGTGACGTTTTAATGATATGAGTGATAAGAAATCTATAGCGAAAAAGCAGCAGGTACAGACGAAATTCCAAACGATCAAATAAAACTAGGTGGAGACAAATGCTCAAAGAATGAAAAACAGAGTGGATACTTCCTATTATCTATTATTAAACAGACAACGACTCTTTGCAACGCAAAATACATTGAAAATAAAATAGAAAAATATCAGCAGTGATTTAGAGAGGGAAGGTCAACATAGATGCTATACACATAATGATAAAGTCAATCGAGAAATGTTATCATAAAATCAATCGAGAAATGTTATGAACGTTATATTGATACATCCTCTTTATAGATTTCAAGCAATCATTGCACACCCTAATAATACCAGATCTAAGAGAAGACATAAAAAATCTCGAGCAGCTATCTTTTTTTTTTGATAGATGGCTTTGGTAAAGACCAATTAGCCAGAGAGCTGCCAATGCAACTTATAAAGCTTACGAAAATAATAATGGAAGAATCGACAGCATCCATCATAACAGATGATGGCATCTCCAAAAATATAGCAATAGGCACTGGTGTAAGACAAGGCCACTCACTATTCTCATCATTTAATGTCACGATAAAAGGAACAATAAGAGCTATCCAAACAAAAGGTACAATAATTAGAACATCGACGACGCAACTTGTTGCTGATGACATAGCACTGATTAGTAGAAATCTAAATCATTTAAAGGAAGTATTTTCAAAGTTGTGTAAGGAAGCATCCAAGAAGGGTTTGGCAATTAACCAAAATAAAACAAAGTACCTTATATGTTCCAGGAAAAATACAGTTAATACAACAGAGATAAATATTAGAGGATGTGAGTACGAAAAGGTAAAACATTGTAAGTACCTAGGGGGCCTCGGTTAATGGTATTGTTGATTTTAGACAAGGAGTAACAATTTTCTTTTGTTAATGCATTGATCTAGCGGTAGTCAATACAAAAAAGTGTGGAACCATCCTCCTTATTTTTCAAGACAACAGGTGAGATCCACAGACTATTTGATGGTATTTTCATGACAACTAGTTACTAAGCATTTTTCATCACTACTTACTAAACATTTTTGTTTGCTCCATGAAAACTCTTCACCATTGATATTGAGGTTCATTTTTAACATCTAATACGACCCCGTCTTTATCACCTAATAAGTTTTTTTTTAAGTCCATCCCAACATAAATTTGTCGGGAATCTCAGCAATTAATATTTTGTGAGTGTATGTCGTCTCTATTTCGTGTGTGGTAGTGTGTCCTTATTTGAATAAGGGTGACGAGATTTATGTATTTCTTTGACCTATTTATGTTTATCAAATATGTCGGATGTTCATCGGTTGGCTTAGTTCAGCAGGATATGCTGTACACTGGAGGTTTTTCTAGCGAAAACATATTCTTTGTTCTTTCTGTTCTGAGATCTGCATACAGACCGCAGCCATTTCACACTTAAGATAAGCATATTTACATTTACAAAACAGTGTTGAAAAATACAAGCATTTTGTGAATCTTACAGTTTGTTATACAGTTTACAATTTTTGAAAAAGTTTATTGATTTACGGGTGTCTTTTATTAAAGTTTCTTTCAGATTGTGTTATATTTTCGCTGTCGATCTTGCTGTTGAGTACACTGGACAGTCTTTTATTTTATATTGCATCGAAATTGGTATTTGACAGTTGTGACAAATCGACTGAGGGTCGTTGGAGATCATATATCCATGTGTAAATTTTATATGATATAGCCGCAGTCTGTTGAGGATTATTCGTTTGTTCTTTGAACATGTGGTCCTTTTTTCTTCCGAAGAAGGAACTGCTTTACTGTTCTTTTAAGCATATATCGTGGGTACATTTAACAAAGTCAGCCTTCGTTTACATTGCTTCTTTAATGTAAACCTTATGATATACGTACTATAATTTTTGATCCGTGGGATAGTAAATATGCAACCATATAAATAGTTTCGAGGTCGATTTAATATTTACTTAAATATTTTTTTTATAATAAACTAAAATGTAATTTTGTAATAATGTTATTATAATAAAATTTTATTTTAATAATTAAAACGCTGATTATCGGATTAAAAGAAGATTTAATTTTGTTTCAGGCAATCATTACACTGGCATTAGTAATGGTAGAAGATGTATACGCTCTCATTAATTATGGATCTTTTGTAGAAGCACTTTTTATTACCGTCAGTATTGTGGGACTTTTATACATGCGCAAAACTCATCCGAAAGCTCTACGACCCATCAAAGTGAACTTAATTCTTCCTATTACATTCTTCATAATATGCGGGTTTTTAGTAACATTTCCGTGTTATGTAACCCCTCTAGAAGTAGGAGTTGGTGTAGCTTTTATATTGTGTGGTATTCCAGTATATTTCGTTACGATATATTGGCAAAACAAACCACTTTGGTTACAGAACTTTTTTAATGATTTTAATATTGGCTGTGCTAAGTTGTTTATGTGCGTGCCCGCAGAGAGTGAGAAAGATTTTTGATAAATACTTTTTTATTAATTTATTGTATTAAGTATTAGTACGGTGAACAGGAGGGACCAAAGGTTAGTTAAACTCGAATTCTTTTTTTATTTTATAAAGCGCCAACACTGTTTCGTTGTGACCTACTAGGACTATTTTTTAGTTATATGGCTTTATGTGCCACTAATTTAAAATTTATATTTTTTTTTATATTTATTTTTATTTCTTTTATACCAGTGGGGAAATTTAGCTATAACGCTCATTAGAGAAAGAAAACAAAAAATTAATATCAAGAATCTAGGTGTAAAATACAAACCAATAATAAATGTGTAGGGGAGTAATGTAAATGTGTAAAAAATTTATTTTTAAATTAAAAGAAAAATTTTCAAAACGGTATGTTACACGAACTCTTTCTTAACATTCTAAGAACGAAATTCGCTAGAAAATCACATAATGAAAAAAATAGAACTTAAAGAAAAAATACCAATTGTTCCACTGTGTACCACAATCGGTACACAGTGCAACATATATCTAGTGTCTTAATAAACTGTTTTGACCACGTAAAGCCCTTATCGAACATCTAACGATCCAAAGTCAATAATAAATTTATAATAACCTGCCAACGATTTGATTTTTCGTCGAAACGGGTTGAGGTAAAACCATTTTTATATCAACTTTATTCACTAGAGCTAACTCAGGCTGTGGAGGAAAGCGAAAAGAACCACCCATTTCTCACATTTTCGAAAATATGAAAGTTCATAATCATTTTGGTCATTAACATCGGTAAGTAGCTTTCCAACATAGTAGACCTTTTTAGGAAAACGTTTTAACACGAAATCGCCCATATTAGCACTTTGAAAGTAATCAGGTTCTTCATCAGGTTGTTCAGGAATCCAATTATCATTATCATCTGAGGAGTCGGCTAGTTCGATATCACTTTCTTCACTGAAGTCAGACTCTGTTTTTTCTCGTTTAATTAATTTGGTTGTTGTAGGGAATTCCTTTAAACGATCCCTAACCTTTTTGCTAATTAGAGCTTTCACTTTTCCTCTTTCTTTCTCTATCAACGCATCTTTCTCGGGTGTGTCAGTAATGGCTGTGCTTTTACGTCGCTTTCTAGGTTTCCTGTTAGCTTTACGAGGTAGTGATTTTGGATACCCTCTGAATTCTTCTGGACTAGCACATGTGGGAAATTAATTATCCATAGTTATTTTTAGCTGAAATGCTATATTAGATGGTCCAGTTTCAGTTTTTTCTGGATTAATCTCGTTCTAAAGTTGTCCAGCACGTTCAGTATTTAGTGTAGTCTCTTTACGAAATCGTAAGGTGATAGGTCCAGATAATTCATAATCGAGGACATCTTCCCGTTGTATCCTGTCAGATACTGCTAATGCTGAGAAAAGGTTTGTGTCATCAAAGAATAGATAATTATATGGATAAATTCCACTTTTCTGGAATCCTGACATATTGGAAGGAGTTAGGTATTTTGCATGAGCTTTTCCAACACATTCGGCTATTTGGTAAATAGTTATGGGAATTTCAGGATGTCGTAGAAGCCAAGAATCAATATCAGCATTGTAATTTGCTTTGAATGGTCAAAAGACCGATATATCTAGGGGCTTCATTTTGTGACTACAGAGGCTTTCAAGATTGTCATATATTAGAAGGGAAGGATTGTCAGGTATACTGTGTAAATGCTTTATGAGATGGTCAAGAACATGTGAAAAGAGTTCGGCCGTCATCCAACGATTGGGCGTTGCTAATCCCAGTGTACCTAGAGGTGCTCCAGCTACCATGTGAGTTTTGAAATATTTTTTCGGAAACACCATCGCTGGGGGAAGGTATATGCCGTTCAGCACAAATGATGGCGGAAGTTGTTACTAGAGTTGCGCGTTCGCCCCTGCTGCATTGACTAACTTGTTTGGAACCCTTTTGAGCTATAATTTTTCTGGGGTTTTGCACAGTGCTAGTACCCGTTTCATCAAGATTAAAGATCCTAGGTGCATTAGCTACTTGAGGTTTCTTTCCAAATATTTTTTGCAAGATGTGTTACTACTAGGCCATTTTTGCTGCTGTACTCTGACGAGTACAGTGAAACCAAATGGGTTAATCCAATTGGCCGAACAATCAAAATTATCAATATTTATCCCTTTACAAAAAAATTTGCGTTTTTTTTGCAAAGGGCTAAATATGCGCAAATTGCAAAAAATGGCATTTTCAATTAGTTTGCAGCTTAAACCATTCTAAAGGTGCACAGTTAACTTGTTCTTGAGACGACACCCTCACTTATTTGATTAGGTTTTAAAACATTGGCATTGAAAAAGAGTTGGAATTGTTGGATTGGAATTGTGTTTGGCTCTGTCTTGCTATAAGAAACACTGTAGATAAATTAGTGTTTTCATGAATGCCAGATCTGATAGTTTCGTTCGTAGGTCACCAAATTACTATGTTCATGAAATTTTGTAAGTCCAATAGCTACGATTTATTTGTAAACATATAATGCTCGTCTTCGTTATAACTGGACAATATTGTGTGAAATTTCGTCGTTAAAAGCGGTCGATCTTTATAAGTGGAGTCATAATAAATGGATGTCTTGTATTAAAAACCAACATATGCATGCCTTGCTTATGTCACTAAAAACGGTTTTGTTTTTTCATGAAATAGAAAAAGTTAATTTGGTAAAAGTACAAACTAGAGCGTTATATCCAAATTTCACTACTTTATTGTAATAACTACTTAATGATTATAATGCCTTTCTTTATATATCGTCGCTGAGTCTGTAAAATTCAACATTGTTTAAAAAAATTATTTTGGTTCAAAATTTAATTAATTTTATGTTACTCGTTTATGTTAACTCGTGTTGTATAATTTATCTGTACAATTCCTTTAACATGAATTAAGGAAGAACACGATGGGGCTATAACATGGACGTATAAATAAAGATCTTTATTTATACGTCCATGGGCTATAAAAACACCACTGGTTCTTTTTTCACAATTTTATTTGTCGGTTTTTGTAGAGGCAGGACGATAGTAACTGTATAATACAGCAAACACACATGTGTATACAAGATATGTATGTAGGAAGCGTAAAAAATATTTAAAATTAAGATGAAACTATTTGAATTATTCCATCATGAAACCTATGTATTATGTACGCATTTTGAGGCATTTAGAATTGTAAATAGCGATTATATAAATATATTATTATATTATTCTATTCTAATATTAATGTGTTATAATGCTCAAATACTGTGTCAAAATAGAGATTTTTTAAGAATGTGTATTTAACATTAAATGTTTCTTTAAAAATTTAACAAACATTGTTGAAATATATTTTCTATTTTTGTTTGTGATTTTATGTGAAAACATGTTAATATTTATGGGACCAAAAATTAAGTTTTCAACTAATATAATGCTTTGTACAAATTTTTTTAGTGATAATAGTTTAAGAATGTCCTATATATTGTTTTATTTATTCAATGTTCATGAATACCTAATACACTGTACCACGATGAAATATTTTACATATTTACTATTTCCATGAAATTTTTAATTAAAACCAATTAAACAATAATATCTTGTAGACGTAGAGTTTTTTTGTGAGATCTGAAAAAATGTTAACAATACTTTAAATTAGAAATAAAAAATTTTCTCCTTCAGTGGAATTTACATAAAAAATTTAGTTTAAAAAAAATATAAATTATTACCTATAACCTTTTCGCTATTGAGATGAAATAACAAATCAAAATTTTAAGGAAATTTAAGTACAGGCGGCTCAAGCAAAATAGGTATTTTTTATATGTATATGTATTTAATTGAGCCTGTCACTAAAAATGTTGTAAATTTAAGACTTGTACCTGTGCCCACAGGTGTTGAGAAAATATAAGATGTATATTGAAAATATACTATAAACTGTACATAGACAGGATATCTAGCAAGATCGCAGCAAAACAACCATCCTAGACGAACCCTCATCGGAGGGGTTCTTCAAAAACATCACTGTTCATAATATATTCATGGTAGTTTTAATATTTTTTTGGATTGAAATATTAACCGTAACAATAAAACACTGAAAACTTTGTTTTCAAACTTCCACAAAATTTATTTTAAATCTTATCACTACAGCTGTTTCGGCTGATTGCCTTTCTCAAGTGATCTATTTTTGGCTTGGGTTTACAAATTTATAGTCTCTAATGAAATAGGTTGAGGAGGGGAGAACTGTTTGTCTCAAGTTGGTCATTCAGAATTATATCTGTGTTTTTTAATTTGTTGATTTCCATAGATTCTAACAAAGATAGCTTAAGGCCTTTATTTTGAATGTGAAGAATTTTAAATTTGTCATTAAAAGAATGATTATGATCTAGAAGGTGAAGTGCGTATGTCGAATCTGTTTTTCTATTATTGAAAGCCCTTTTATGTTCTGCTATTCGTTTATCAAAGTTTCTACCAGTTTGACCGATGTAAGTTTTTGGGCAGTCGCCACATTGAAGTTTGTACACACCACTATTTAAGTGTTTTTTATTTTGGCTCTTGTTATTTTTAATATATTTGCCTAGGTTGTTATTTGTTCGGAAAGCTGGTGTTATTCCTTTCTTTTTGATGTGTTTGGCAATTTTTGTTGTTATTTTGCCTGTATATGTAATCGAGCAGAAGGTATTGGGTTTTTTCTCTGGAGGTGGAAATACTAATTTTAACAGTTAAATAAACAGTGCTTACTTCGGTTTCCATCGAATCAGCCATGTTCACCAAGAATAAATTATATAAAATTAATCATGTATTCCAAGTTATTACACACAGCTCACTTCCATGACAGAACTAGCTTTTGAAAACTGACCTATCACACCATCTACCTTCTATTAGCATCAGCAAGGTTACACAAGAGAATTTTGTATGGATCTACAAAACTTTACATATATGTAACACCAGGTCATAATGAGTTAAAGAATCACCTTCTCAAAACTCGTTATCACTTTTCACTTCCAATATGTTATATCAGTAGCGCACCTAGAATTTTCCTCTGGGGGGGTTGGGCACCTAAATTTTTTTATGCTACCTCCACAATTTTAAATCCTTAAAATGTGTAAATAACAGTGTCGGAATAGGGTCCTGGGGGGGGTTTAACCCGCAAAACCCCCCTGGGTGCGCCACTGTATTACATTATATTATTTTTTAATCTAGTGACATCTTTCTAGAGGATTATTGATGTCGCGCTTTAGTTATGTACTTTCTTCCGACTTTAACTTCTTTTTATTTAGTTTTACATTGTTGTGCTTTATTTATAACTTTTTTAAATGAAGCCATAATCTAGCGAAAAGGCGATTGTGATCAAAAAATACATCAGTACCTGGGTATGCGTTTATTGTCTGTATTGCGTTTCGGTAACTATTTTAAATATTAAGACATAGTCTGATTTCTAACTATGTTACTATCCTTATTTGCTGGTGACTTCCATGTATCGAGGATATGTTCCAATATGCACTGAACAAAATCTAAAGGGGATGCCATACATTTTTGAAGTGGACAGTGATTCTCTTGGATATTTGCTGATCACAGACTTTCCAATATCTTCTTTGTTTATTCAAAGAATGCGGGTCAGTGGTTTACGACAAAAGATGAGAAATTTATGGGTGAGTTGTTTTCTACAAATCACATTAATTTATGAAACTTTTAATCTAAAAATATTTTTTCTAATTTAAGAGTAACTCATTTTATTACGCATTATAACAATTGGACAATACTAGTAAATCACAATATTTTCTTCAATAAATTATAGTTTTAAAAGTGGACATTCCTTTTTTAAGCTTGAAAATGTAATTTTCTATGTTCTTTTTTGTTTATAAGGCACATAGAAGAAATTATGAAGGTCTATATCTTTCCGTAAGGTTTAATAATATTATTACTAAGATCTTTTTTGAAAATAAGAATTTTTACCAATTTTGTTTAAAAATATTTTACAATTTGTTTTATAGTTGTGTAATTTAAAGAATTGGCGGAATACCGTAATTATAGCTTAGTTACAAATAATAATGAAAAATTAGTTTTGCAAAAGTTTTCTGCATTTTAAAGACTTTATGGTATTTTTGATTTGTCAATATCAAAGTTATTGGTAATGTTACGTAGTTACGGAAATTGTATTACGTAATAAATTGATATTTGTCAATATCAATTTATTAAGATTGTCATTTTATTGTCAAAGTTAAGTAGTTAAGGGAAAATAAGAACACATCTTTACTGGACGACGTCTACGTTTATTCTCATTTTTCAGTTAAATGTGGATCAAATTACCCAATTTCTTTCTCAGCATAACCTTCGCCTTAAATATTCCTCAAACTATCTTAAATATTACCTAAAAGTATTAAATATTATTTATATATATATATATATATATATATATATATATATATATATATATATATATATATATATATATATCCGGTTTTTTAGGCGTTACGCTAGGCGTTACGCCCGTCCGGTAGGGATCTATGGAGGAGTATCACCGAGCCGCAAGCCCTTATCTCTTGCCGTACTGCTCCACCATAGCCCGATCAGAACCCAGCATATCCTAGTCTAAGCCGCGGATTCATCTAGAATTTTAAACTGCTGCGTTAGACTATTTGTTTTCTGTACACCGAGCTTGGGCTCGACCCACATCCACTAAACCATTCGACAGTGAAGCGAATGAGAGGCAGCCGCACAGCCCGCTGAGCTATCTGACCGACCTTAATATTATTTTATATTCTTAAATATTAATCTAATTTTAATTGATCTTTCTAATCTAAACAAAATGATCTAAATAATCATTCTATTATCGTACCTTCCCTTCACATTTTAAGAGATTTAAACTACTCTGAGTTTATTTGCCTTTGCCAACTGTGCGACTCTTATACCTTGTTGCTGGTAATATCATGTAAACGATTCTTAGCAAAGGATTCTGAATATATTGACCATTTTCCCATAAAATTACATTAACCTATCATAATATGAGATCTTATTCAAACATCATAAAGAATGTTGATTGTTGATTATCTTACACCTTCACTTTAATACATATTCCCTAATTCAAAATATAGTTTGGTTTTTTGTTTCACTTTCAAAATTTACTATATTATTATTGTTTCCAGATTTAAGCCATACGGTTCTGAAAGGTGAAAATTTAATCATCTCAAATACCTGCGGTATCAAAAGGATTGATCTGGTATGCTGTAGTATCTCTTAAAAATTATTGTACACATCTGGACGTCAAGAGTAACACAGTTTTCTGCATGGTTTTCTAGGTTCTTCGAGGTTCTTCGAAATGACTCCAGTAGTAGAGAGAATAATAAGTATTTTCTGAGTACTTTCCATTCACCACTGTCTCCGTATTTGAATTTCCCAATTTATGTACTTGGCGTTCTTTTCGTTATATTTAACATGCTTTGTTAGTTGTAGTATAACATCCGGTCAATCATTATGCACCACTGGTTGGTCTGTGAGTACAGTGCAGTCCCAGTATAGCTTGTAGTTGCCATTCTCAAGCATACTGTCAGGAACGTATTGATAATAAGGGAGATGGTTGATTCGGAGAAGTCCCAGTTTGTTGCTATTTCTTGATGAAGGCTCTTTCCTACTGAGTCATGCCGTTGCTTATATTCAGTTGCAGTAAATACCTGGCAGCCCTACTTTGGATGGTTTCTTGTGCTTGACATCCATTTCGGCATTTGTCCTCTTGATCTGAATGTCTTTGACGATATATTTCAGGTAATTTTTGGTTGGTATAACCTGATACTGAATGGTGAGTAAGGAACCTTGTTTCAGGGAATATCTTTTCTGATGTCAACCAATCGCTCGGCGCTGTATTGTCGACATAGTCTTGACTGACTTCATTGGAATGCCGCCCATACAAAAGTTTACCTATCCAGGTACGCATTTTTTTGTCATTAGGTTGTGTCATATATTGGGCAAATCCTCCTTCTCCTCAGTCCTAATCCCTTTAGGGATGTGGTGACACCATCAGGCCTTTGCTTACCTGTCCATAAGTCGTCTTCCCTAGAGATACCGAATTAATGATGTTCTCTCTGCTGCATTACATGTAGCATTGGTGTTTTTATCTCTTTGTGACAAGTGGCTTTCCGCTGAATACTTTCTATTTCGTTTAAGACCAATTTGCAATACCTTATGAGTAGCCAAGCTCGGAACAAGCGTACGTATTATTATTATTATTATTCCATATTTAAGCCATACGGCACTCACCCCCTTTTAGGAGAAATCCGTTCTTCCTAGATACCACGGTATCAAAAGGATTTAGCTTTGGTGGGGTTATTTCTGTGTTATGGAGCCCTAGGTGACTTGGTAGGCTGGAATATCCCTCAAAAATTTTCTTGCGCATCTGGATGTTGAAAGTAGTATCGCTTTCGGCATGGTCTTATAGAAATGTTTACTAAGCCCCAGCTGTAATAATAGATATCGTCTGTCTGGTTTCCATTTTCCTTTATCTCGATATTTATATCTCAAGATCTGTGTACGTGGTGAACTAGTATAAGATCCGATCTATTATGTACCACTGGTTGGTCTGTGCATGACCGCACTGTGCCCACACTCTGTAGGTCTCTATGTTTCATCATTTTGTACATACTTACCTTTTTTACCAAAAGTTCACAAATCCAGTTTCATTTCAATCTTCCTTTATTTCCTTTTTAAAGTTACTAATATTCATCGTTATATGACCCCACCCTTTATGTTCTTTTCACTCACAAACACAAAAACTTATCAGTTTGTTTCATTTGGAATGTTTTTTAACGTTTACTTTAGTTTTTTGCATTTTTCGTGTGAAATTTGTCCAACTTCCATCTTATGAAATAAAGAATGTTATTACTGTGGCATCTATTAGTTCTTCGTATTTATTCTGTGTAGTTGCCGGAGGCAGGTTGTGTTTAATTCTGTCGAACCCATTCCTTATTGATTATTTACATTATTTTTACATCTATAACTCCGCCTTGGATGCGATTAAAAGCTTTTATTAGCTCTACGAAGGATGAATATGCTGGTTTATTATATTCAATTACCTTTTTTGTGATTTGTTTTAGTACAAACACGGCGTCTACGCACGATTTTCCGGATCTGAACTCCTGTTGTTCGTCAGATCTACATGCGTCGGGTATCTTGCCTTGTAATATAATTTTTTGGACAAGTTTTGTCATCTGTGGGACTATACATGCTCCCTGTAATTTCCCTTGTATGTCTTAAAAACTTCTGATGAGTTTAATATGTACCATAGTGAAAACAGGATATGTAATTTGGTTACGAAGAAAATTAACTCAAAAATACCATCAAGAAACTAATTACTGTAAAAATTTGCGAATTATAAATGGAATTTTTTGCATAGGCAAGAATTGCTATAATCCTGGCCTGTCTATTATCTTTATAAATTTTCGACGGAATAAGTATTATTTTTTATGATCTGTTGCCAATTACTTTGTAATAGTCGTTTTTGGGTTATATTTGTTTAATTTTTCGTTTTTTTTTATATTCATTTTATATTTATTGTGATTAGGAGACATATGAATAAAATAAACAATGAAACCTATATCTTAGCTTATACAAGAACTTAGTAATAGTTTGCATAAATTTCACAAATAAATAGTTAGCGCCATTATTAATTTAAAACTACATAACTATTGTGAATTTCTGTCTACCTCAGCATATACATTAAAATAAAATGATCCTCGCTCTCCTCCCTTTTTTCAGTCTGAAGCACATCAATTCAAGATATTCTATAGTAGTACTGGGTCATTGTTAAGGTTTTTTATAACGAATCTACTATAATTTATTATTGTAAAGTCCGAATTAAATTCATAGTGTTACTTAGTTTTATTCAGAATTTATGATTTAACATAATTGCAAACTTTATTATTTTTATGTTTAAAAATAAATTGTTTAATAAGTAATTATTATGATAATAAACTTGTTACATTTTTAAAGTAGTTGTTTTTTATTATCTAACTACCTAATTTACCTGTTAGAATTGGTGCAAAACCTCACGAACATTGGAAATATGCCCGAAAAAAATTTACTGCAGCAGGGTCGGATCTGCACATAGTTTACAAGTACAGCTCACATGAACTGCAAATTTTTTTTTCCGAATTCTGCACTGGATAGGTAAGGTATACTTTAATAAAACTAGTGTATATATAAATCTCAAATAATTTGTGACAAAACCTATTCATAAGAGAGGTTATTTTTAATATAAATAGGTCACAGAATAATAAAGAATCAGAATGCCCACTCTGCTTGGAATCAACCGTGTTTTTAACGGAACCAGTGTTGTTCAGTGACATTTTATCTGGTGTATAGAAAAAAATCTGGTGTATCTGCATAGAAAAATTAACCCAGTTTAATTTATTTACGGCAACTATAGACATAATATACACTATTTTATTCGTACTTTTAGTTGAAGAATAGATTAAATTATTTCAAATTTACTGAATTATTAATCTTTAAAAATTTAAATTACAGTTCTGTCGTAGCTTATCACAAATTTCTCAATCCGAGTCTATGTTTCCGTTTAAAAGTTGCCGATCGCGTTTTGACACACATCAAAGGCGGCATCTGAGATTAGGCATTCTGATTGTTATTTATTCTGTGCCTAGGTCTAGTTTTAATTGCAAATAGAATTTATTTTCATGGGTAAAAAAAAGTGAAGTCGTCAGAAATTTGATCTCTAAAAACGAGAAGAACAAACTAAATTTTGCTGACAAAATACTGACAAAACTCTTTCCTGTCCGTGATTTCTCAGCGAGAAAATTATGACTGATCCGTTGCGAAGGTGTCCGATAATTCTATTGCCAGAGGGATTCACTTTTTGCAGAAGGAATTTGATGTCGTGGGAGAATTTACGGGCCGAATTGAATACAACAGAATTTTTTTAAAACAAATAAGGCGGTACGAAAAGTTTTTCAAGAAGCAAATGGCTGGTAAGAAATTCATCAAACGAAAATTTATGCCTAGTTAGATTATTTTTTAAATTAATGAAAAAAAGAGGACCAAAGATTTTATTAGTCAGACTCTTTGTTACCGTTCATCCCAACTGGAAGGATGAATCTTGGTTCAAAACTGTCCATTTGGAATCAACACCGTACCTAAGTGGACAAATCTAAGCTGACATCTTCAGCTGTGTCAGCCTTGTTCAAGTAATGTGTTTCTGAACATGAGTTAATTAAATTCACGGGTCACTCAAATGCAAGATCTCTAAAACCACATCTGCAACTGGATTACAGTCACCACCAGAAGTTGATCAAAAATCTCAGAACAACACATGAAGCTAGACCTTCGAGTTCGCTAATGGGAACTAATGGGCATAAGTCAAAGGCTTTTAACGATAATTTATTACTATGCTGACATTTATGCTTAAAATGCCTTTGCTTTAGCGTGATGAAGGTTTCTCAGTCGAAGCAGAGGTTTCAGTTTCATTACATAATGTACAAGTGTCACATCTGGGGTAAGAAAAAGATATGTTAAATCGAGTTTGAAATATGTTATAATAAACAAAGTAAGAAACACTGGGTAAAGTTCTTTAAAAGCTTATTTTTTACATATAACTCTTATGGTAGATAAATTTTCTTTTTGTCCAATATCTGTGTATAATGACTTTGGCGGCCTTTGAATGCAGAAATGTAATTGTCCACTTTTACTAGTAGTACCGTGGTTAGGTAAAGCAACTTGTGGAATACGATTGCGTCGTCTCTGGATAAGAGTAACGCTAATGGGCTTAATAAATATACATCCTGCTCATCTTTGATCTTCACATTATTAAACGTATTCAGTAAGTCAGAACGTTATTCCTGTGTTATTACATAGAAGAATCGGTAACGTTTTCACTTACAACCAAGATTGAAGTCACAGGCATTGAGAAAACAACTTGTTTTTTTTTCGAAAAACTTACCTACAGTCATATCCTGTTGTTCGGGCTAAAACATCCTTATCACCTTTATGCATTTTGTGAGCAACTCCATGTATTTTAGCTTGCTTTATGGTTTCGTGGTTGATCTGTAGTCCGAATTTTACAAATGCTATCATCTATAATATTGGAGGTATTGTGTTGAACAGTTTCCATCATGCTGAACTATTTTTCTTACCAACGCTTAGCGATGACCGTTGTCTAAGATGGGACAATGACATTTTTACACAACTGAATGTGTAAGATCGATAAAGAAACTACTATTCTATGCGAACAACATATAAAGTTAAATTTGCAAAAAATGGACATGTGTTGTTTTCCAAATAAATGATTCAATTCCTAGGTTTCGACCAGAACAGATTCCTAAATATACCTATTTATTTGGCATTATTTGTTTTCTGTTCAGCTGAAGTCATTGGTGAATTTATCAACATATTAAATTTTCATCTACATATTAAGTTTTCATCTACATATCAAGTTTTCTCCTATAGGCCAATCCCTATAGGTATGCCCTTTAACTTGTCGTTTATAAATATATCAATTCATCGCTTTTTTTTTAATAAATGGATAAATAATTTATCATTTCTGAGCAGAAATCGTTACTGGCTGTTGCTTTGTCTCAGCTAATCCATATAATTGATTATCCTCACATGTACCTTTTTCTTCCTTGTACATCTACATTTGTTAATTCTTTATAATATTCTTGTTAGAGTTATGAAAGGTCTTTTTCGGACATGTTTTTTATATTCTTGTCCTTTATGTTCTGCTTTTGACAAATAAAGACTTAAAGATGTAATCCATCTTCTGTATAATAGAAAAGCTCCCCTAAATTTTATAAAAACTATCGAAAACATCTACCAAAACAATAAAATGGAAGTCAGAATAGATGGACAACTTATATACTGCCACACGTACCGTACTCCGAAGCTATTTTCTTGTGGCCTTTTATAGTAATTACTATAAAATGCCACAATCTAAAAATAGAAAAAAGAATAGAATAACCACATAAGCAGAATGGAGGAAACCCGTGTCGCCAAAATAGCAAGAGATGAGTCACCAATCCGCAGAAGAAGTATCTGACAACCGCGCAAAAGATGGAGTCACAACCATCCATATAGGTATTAATCCGCCAATGAACAAGCAGAATTGCTTATAAAGAGGAAGAAGAAGAAGATGTTCTTAATGGGATATCCTTTTTTCTTTTGTCTGAGTTCGAGTGGAATCCACAACGCACAAGATTTTGTTGATACTTACTTTATTTTTAAATAAATAAGAAAACATAACTAAATTAAGCTTAATATAATTTAATTATTCTATTTTAAATTACAGGTTAAAATACTTTTCCTAATATCTAACATCACTGAGACGCTTTGCTGCACTAAATTAAGAGGTAGTTAAAGATTTGTCATAAAAATTCTATTGTGTATAATAACGATTGCAAAATTCGGCCATTCTTTGACACGCTTCCTTTATCAGATCCTCTGGAACTGTAATAACAAGTCTAAGAAATCCCGGTATTGCAAAACACTAAAACAAAATGCAAAATATAAAATATTGATTTTAAATATAAGCTTTTTCAATATTCATATTTTATATATTCATAGTTCAATATATTTGAGACATCTAAAAATTACTTACGTCGCCAGGTAAACAGAAAACAGATTCTTCCTCCATCATCTTTTTTGCAAATTCCAATCCATTTTCAAACATTGGAAATTTCGCCATTTGTATTTCAACCAACATATACATTGTGCCCTGAGGCATAAATGGGGTCAGACCTCTAGCATTCTTTAATTCTTCGAAGGCTACTTTAGCGTTGTTTGCCAAGGTGTTGTTTAAAGAATCAAAGAAACTTTGCGGTGTGTTTTTTAAAATTGCTGGCAGAGCACCTTGGATTAGGGTATTGCTGCCGATTATTCTTTGAGACAAAGAGTTTAAAGCTTTTCGAATGTCATCAAGAACCCCAAACTCATCGTGTACTATTATCCACCCTAATCTCCAACCAGGTATCTAAAAATAATATCAGAATGTTTAATCAATACAGAGCAATTATAATAAAAGAAATTAATATCTTTAAAAACAAAATAAGGTATGATGACTCTTTTCTGACGCATCGTTCTGAGTTAAGAGAGATCGTGGCGTTTTCCCTTACGGTATAGGAGCAATGGAGTCGGTCTCATTACCAAAGTACGGCAACCGATTTTTCAAATCATAAGGTCTAAAGATCAACTTTCAACGATTTAAATTTCCATTATAAAAATTTAAAAACATATATAGCGAATTCTCTATTGAGTAGAAATTAAAATATGTATTTAAATATATGCAGTAAATTTTTAAGTTACTGTTATTTAATAAAAAACAAGTTTTAACTCTAAATTTATAACTAACAAAATTTACAAATTCAGAGAGTTGTGCTATGTTTATCGTAAAGTCGTGTTTATACTACTTAATACTCATATCAAGATTTCCATTCAAACAAATTCCCATCATTTTCCGTATAACTTAATAAATATCTGGTGTTTCCACTTTTTCCAAAACTAAAAGTGACAAATTGTCCGTGGAATCTTCTTCTGCTTACTTAATGTTGGTCTATGAACCCAATCCAGTCTACGGATGAAATTTCATCCACGCAGATTCAGTCTAATTAAAAAACATCGCAACGGTATATCCGCGAGATACCGAGACGTTAACTAAGATATAATTAGGTATGTATTTATGCTTTATGGAGTATAATAAATCTTAAAAATAAAAAAAAAGCTATAAAATTTTAATTGACGTAGGTCAAATTCATTTTATTTCAGAAAGCAGTAACTTTTATTCGACCCTGTATAAAGTTTATATATAAATTCTTTTATTTATATAAAGCCTATCTCAAAATATTTGAATAAGAACTCTTCTTCCTGTGCCGTGCTCGATTGTTGTGCGTTGGAGGATATGTTAAACCATTTCCTCGGGTTTTTAAGCCATAACGTTTTTCTTCGACCTGGCCCTCTTCGAATAAGAACGCTTTAGGGTTATTGGGATAGGGTAACTCATTTTCAATAAGATCGGTGTGAGTATCTAAGTAATTAACGGTCGAACAAAGATTGGATTTTAACTGGAAATCAAATTGGTGGGGATGAGAGTGGGGTGGGGTGAGAATTTATTATGAACAGTGGAGAGATTTTGTTTGACTGGCAAAAATGATACTTGTGGAGAATTGAGATCATTCCGCCTTTGCCGGCTGTTTTAGCCTGTAAAAGGGGTATAGTTTCTTGTTTTAGTATTGTTTAAGCATTTTTGGAGAACAAAAGTATCTTTGTGTTAGTGACAGCATGATTCCACTCTGTATAGGGAAAGAAAGAAGTGAACAAGTGGGGTACAGTGAACCACCGAAATATTAGGAAATCTGGCAACGCCAGACACTTGCGTTCTACGAATATTAACCACAGTTGACTTACAAATCCATCCGATCAGTTAGCCGGCGCGTGCTGCAAGGTTTATAGGAGCTGCGAGCCAATTGTTGTTTTTAGAAGGAAAAACTTATATATTTAAAGAAAGTATTACGATTTTTAATGTCCTTGTGTTGATTATATTTAAGAGCAAACCTTTTACATAATTTTCTATAGGTATTTGGCCATACTTATGTAAAATAGTTGCAAGTGTGATAAGCTTTTTTCTAACCTAAAATATAATAATATGTACAGGGTGGTACACAGTGAATCAATCGACCCTGTTTCACAGTGAACCGGTTCATGTGGATCAGATACTTTTGTGTGAGTGTTTCTTTAAAAAAAATGTGAACTAAGTTAACTCTACTTAAAAAGTACATTTATGTTTATTGTTTTTATTAATTAGACTCCAAATAAACACGTTCTAGAATAACAATTTTACTGGATGCTTCGTAACCTAGGGAAGCCTGTCACCATTTATCAAGTGGCTGAGTTTGTCGGCCATGCTTATCCCAGAGCTATGACATTATTGAACATAGCCGCTGACTTCTCCAAGTGTGGAATTTTTCCATTTAACAGAAACATATTTAGCGACGAAGATTGTTAGCCAAGCAGTTTTACGGACCGTCCTGAACCCAATAATACAACAGATGAGCCAACCTCTGAAACAACTGAAACGCCACAACGTAACGAAAAAAACCAAACAGGCCCAAGCAAAATCGCGGATGATGTTGCAGACACTGAGAAATCCATTGACCAGACTTCCCAGTCCACCACCAAAGTATTAATAACACCAGAAATATTTCGACGACCTTTAAAAGCAGGTCCTCGTGATGAAAAGAGAAAACGTAGAAATGTTAGAAAAAGCGTTATAGCAACAGATACGCCGGAAAAGGATGCAGTAGCTTTAGAACGGGCTAACGCAAAAGCTAAAAAAGAAGCTGCAAAAAGACAGGTTTTTGCAGATTCTGCTAATACAAAAACCAAAGCTGCATTGACAAAACCAAATAAGCGTAAAAGAAAATCTGATTCAGACACAAACGAATCTGAAGAATTTATTTCTGATAGCTCTTCTGATGATGGCTGGTACGAAAAATCAAGTGATGATGATGACTTAGAAATTTTGGATGAAAACTTTGCTCCTCTTTCACAAAATCCTAAAGAAGTTGATTTTGTCTTGGTACACTTTACTACAAAAAAACTGTATGTTTATTACGTAGCAAAAATTTGCATTTACGAAGCTTTTATTACAACTAAATTTTGATCTTTTTCATACCAAATAATACAATTTAATGTAGCCAGATGAATATTTTATATAGGATGTATTGAATATCTTACCAAAAATCTTTTTGCAAGTCCACCACAAATTAATAATGGTACTCCTGAATTTAACGAAGCCGTGGATGTGAACTGTTCACCAGGGAAAACTAAATTTTCATAAATTTCATCGGCGATCACGGGTATTCGGTTATTGTAAGCCACTTCCAGAATATTTCTAAGATGCTCTTTGCTAAAACTGGATCCGCATGGATTGGATGGATTGTTTAATACGATGGCAGCTGTATTGTTATCAATTTGAGATTCGAGGTGGTCAATATCAGCTTCCCAATTATTTTCTGGTATGAGATTATAATATCTGTAGGAAAAATTAAAAATAATTGTAATATTGGTATATATACTTAATCAATAAATAATAATATACTATTTCATAGTAATATATAAAAATAGAGTAATAATATTGAGAAAACTAGTACTACTACTACTATCGGTTTACAGCGTTCTCCGACGCCTTCCGATTCCTAACCGCCATTCTTCTCTATTCAACCATAGGTCTGAAGGGATTTCTCTTTTCTCTAGTTCTTTTTCAATTCCCTCTCTCCAGCTTCTTCTCGGTCTTCCTCTTTTCCTTCCCCTTGTGGTGTCCACGTCAAAATCTGTTTTGGAATCCTGCCATCTGGCATTCTCTGTACATGGCCGTTCCATATTAACTGTTTTGTTTTTATGTCATTAACTATTGTATGCTTGACTCCCATCATTTCTTGTATTCTCTCATTTGGTATCCGATCTCTTCTTGATTTGCCTGCTGCTCTTCTCCAGAAGTCCATTTCTGTTGCTAGTAACAGTTTCTCTGTTCTTTGTTTCATTGGCCAAACTTCACTGCCATATGTGATTACACTTTTAAGTATGGTGTTGTATATGAGTTGTTTGTTCGCTTTAGATATTGTTTGGTCCCACAGAATTCCGTTCATCATGGATATGGCTTTTCTACCCTGTATGTTTCTGTCTTTTATAGCAGCATCGAGTGTTCCATCTTGAGTTATCTTCATACCCAAGTACTTGTATTCACCACAGTTTCTAATTTCTACCCCAGCGTCTAATATAATGGATTGTTTTGTCCCTCCAATACACATTGCTTCAGTTTTCTTAATGTTGACTTCGAGACCCCATTTGTTATATTCTTCTATTAGCTTTCGAGTCATGTAACTCAAGTCGTCATGATCCTGGGCAATCAGTATTTAGTCATCAGCGAAACATAAGGTGTACAGTGTAGTTTCGTCATTGAGAGGGATTCCCATGCCATTACATTTTCTTTTCCATAGCTTGAGTGCTTGTTCCAGATAAATTTTGAAAAGGGTAGGCGAAATACAGCAACCCTGCTTTAGTCCTTTCGTGACCTTAAATCCTTCAGATATCCTTGATCCAGTTTTAATTTTTGCAGTCGTTCCATTATACAGACTTTGGACTGCTTTGATAAGACCATGCTTAATGTTGGTTTGCTGTAGGGTTGACCATAGTTTACTTAAGGGTACACTGTCATATGCTTTTTGTAAGTCTACGTACACCAGGTGAACTACTTTATTGAAGGCTGTTTTTTTCTCAATAACTTGCGTAACAGAGTACAGGTGGTCTACTGTGGATCGCCCAGCTCTAAAACCAGCTTGCTCTTCTGCTTCGTAATCTCTATAGTCATTTTCTATTTTGTTCTTAATAAGTTTCCCATACATCCTACTTATTGTGCTGTTTACCGCAATTCCTCTGTAATTTTCACAGTGATCCTTGCTGCCCTTTTTGTAGATAGTTGACATGATAGATAATTTCCATTCCAGAGAAAACTAGTGATGGAGCTAATAAAAGAAATTTACCTAGCCATAACAAGTGACAGATGACGTTACAGCGCCACTGTGACAGAGAATTTTAAATAAGACCTTATGGCAAGTGATACCTCGTTTGAAAGGTATTGAAAGGTATTGTAATTGTCAGATATTTTTAGTTTTAAACGGATTTATAGCTGAATATTTAGTTTCTGTTTCTGCTTAATTTAGTGAAGTTGTTTTTAGTTAGTTGTTCTTAGTTAATATTTAGTTTAATTATTCTTTAGCGAGACGTTTAAATTTTTACAAATTTTAATAATTGGTGAATGTGGAAATGATTTCTATGCAGCGGAACGTCTTTTTAATGAGAGGTATTTACCCAGATCGCCTTACATCGAGAGCTTATTTGAGGAAGCGTCTTCGGAAGTTTAAACAAACAGGTAGTGTTCAAGATGTCAAACGATCTGGTCGATCAACAATTAGTGATGACAAAAAAATTGTCATAATTTCAGAATAGTAGTGAACCCTACTTCTTCTACAGCCCAAGTTGCATCTATCCATGAAATCAGTCAAAAGACAGTACAGCGAGTGTTGGCTGAAAACAAATTTCATCCATACAAATTAAAAATTGTGCAACTTTCAGACCGAATCTAGAATTCTGTGAATTGTCCAATGTGAAATGTCCAATAAAATTAACCAACAGCTCGATTACATAAAAACAATTTGTCAATATAAGGTTGAATGTTCGAATTATTAAACTTTGATAGAGTATACAAGGCAACTATCGAACACAGTGATTAATTAAATCTTGCCCAAGTACTTTCGATCAATAGATCATCTTCAGGGGCATTTCGTCAGTTGTGGCCTATCCGACATGAGTAGAATGTCATACATGTAAATTTGGACATTTTGGACAAACACTTTAAAAATTTTTTAAAAAGGAGAAGCTACATGTTATATAGAAGCCGGAGACAGAATGGGCTCCCGGTCTGGCGGAAATATTGAGATGACATGAACAAACAATTGAAAAGACAGACATTGAAAAACAATTTGTTTTAGTGACGAAAGTACTTTTTCTCTCAAAGAATGATAAATTTGACTCAACTTGCTAATGTCAGTTCTCTTATTGAGGGTAGTTGGATGTTTGAAAATGTAACATATATAAGGAAGAAAAATTCGAAATTAACGAGGTCAAGGGAGGCCCATGATTTGTGGTTCGCAACACTTTTGGGTAAATCATTACTAACAGAGCCATAACTCTCGGAGGAAAGATATTTATTTATTAAGGAAAAAGCAAAGGAGTTTTCAACAAGAATACTTCTCAGCAAAAGAAGGGATATCCTTCGATTAACCGCATGTGTCAACCTGTATAAGCTAAAACTAAGGGCTTGGATGAGGTTGGTTTTGTACTTGAAAGGATGACAAGAATGGCAGTAGAGAAACCTGTTGGAAGCCTTTGGTTACCTGTACCAACTTTAACTAAAGCTGTATCAGCCTTCCATAAACACGCATATCATAGAAAGGTATGCTAAGAAAATGCTGACCATTCTCCATTCTCTCTCCTGTTACTGCCAAAGAATGTAGAGCATAGAACTATTTTAATTAATCTTAAACTGTTTGTCCTTGTTTCAGTATAGTGTTTGTACAATTTTATGTTAACATTCATGTTTATCACATTCTACGCTTGCTGGATAGCCCATATTTGACGAAATGCCCCTGAAGATGCTATATTAAGCGAAAGTACTTAAGCAAGATTTGATTAAACTTGTGCTTGATATTTGCCTTAATTTTCAAAGTTCATTTATTCGAGCATTCAACCTCATATCAAACATTGATAAGAGGTTGCCAGTAAAAAAGTGGCCGCAAATATTTTTTAATTTAATTAATAGTAATTACTTTTTGACAAACAGGTATATGCATGTTTTTTATATCAAATTACAGCTTAATATGATGGTATAAGTTTGCCTGGCAAAAATGGTCGAAAATTAGGGTTGCCAGCTCTTAAAAACGCGAGGTATCAAAAATAAAATAAAAGACAGCTAGCGCGCAACGCTACTGGTTTGAACTGTCAGCTATGTGAGTTTTTAAAGCATACGCCGATAGATTATAATATATACATATTATCACTTGGCAAACCAGTGTCGTTGCACCCTGACACTATTTTTAATATCCCAAATTGAAACGCCAATAAACTTATTTTAACCTTCAATTGTGCCTTATTCCCATTAAAATAGTAATTATTTTAAAATGTCTGAAGAAAATAGCTTCAGAACAATAATATGTATTTTAAGTAAAAAATTCTTTTTCTTAAATTCCGTCATGAACTTCTTTGGCTACTACAGAAATATCTATTGTTATTTTAATATCGAAACTATAAGTTAAAACTTTGGAAACAATATTATGAACTTAGTGATTCTGCAGTGAGATCTTGTACTAGTAAGGGTGCAGACATTGATTCACTAAGCACAATTAGTGTCATAACAATGGTTAAACCACATAAACTCGATTCAATAATTTTATAGGTTTAAGTTTATCCTATTTATCAGGCTCGTAGGTTGTGATATCTTGATCACGCTGTGACTAGCTGATTGACGCTTAGTCCCAGCTCTTCATATATAGGAGGATAGGTTAGTTCGCAATTAAGATATCATGATTTCTTTAAATGTTGTTTCAACTTCATATTTGCAACCTATTTTGTAATTATTTTTTAAAATAGTGGAAATTTAATTAAAAAAAACAGTTTTCTACATCTTCCATTTGATTTTCACTTTCAGTTAATTTAAACTCGTTCCTACTTTGTTACTACCAATACATCTTTCCTGAACTGGGAGATGATTAATTCGAACTCGTCGCTTTTTTGTAACTATCAATAGATCTTTCCATTCTTTCTTGTTTTTATTTGAGGATTATTAAATTATTTGTTGTAATATATGAACTTTAAAAATAATATAATAATATTTTGTTCGACGTAACATAATATTTCCAAATAATTCGCAATAGTTTATCTACTTTCATATAAAGGTTATCAAAACTCAAAAAAGATACCTAGAAGTAATAACGGTTTTGAACTTTATTCAGCGAGATGCATTAATAATAAAAAAATTATGGGCCAAATAGAAAATAATGCGTGTAATATATTACGTATTGAGATGTTTGTTTTGATTTAAAGTGTTATTATTTATGTATATATTTTTATTATTAGCTAACAGATTTATTATTTTTTACAATCTTATTAAACAGGCAATTCTTGATCATTCGATAAAAACTTTCACTTGTAATTGCTATTATCACAATTATGTAGGTATATGTGTGTATGTATTTTCCATTGTTCTCTGTCTGTCGCTACAGTCATCCATCTAGAGCCCACATGCTTATTGATATCATCTGCCCCTCTCATTTGGGGCCTTCCTCTGGTTCGTTTATATTCCCACGGTCTCCAACTTATAAGAATTTTGTTTCATCGGTCTTCTTTTTATCTTATATTGTGTTCGGCAAATCTCCATTTCAATTTTGCAACTTCTTGTCGAACATCCCTCACTTTTGTTTTCTCTCTTATCCACTCGTTTTATTCATTAGTCTTATGTGCAACATGTGTGTCTTTCCTTTGCTCTTTGGGTTTTTATGATTTTGTGCATGTTTGCTTTTGTAAATGTCCACGTTTGGGAACCATAAGTACGCATTGGGAGTACGCATTGATTGTATTCTTTGGTCTTGAGATGCTGCGGATATCTTTTGTTTTTAAGGATGTAGCTTAGTTTGCCAAATGCCGCCCATGAAAGTTTAAGTCGTCCTTTTATCTCTGCTGTTTGGTTTTCTTTGTTAATTATTATAGTTTGACCCAGATATATATATATATATATATATATATATATATATATATATATATATATATATATATATATATATATATATATATATCCTCAACTTGCTCTATTTAATCTTGTTCGATCCTCATTGTAATGTCTTCATCTGTATTTGTTATGATTTTGGTCTTGCTGTAATTCATATTAAGGCCTGTTTTCCAGCTTCTACGTCCAGTTCTTTCATCATTTCAAATAATTCTTTTTATCGGTTGTCAATACGATGTTATCAGCGTACCTGATAATATATATATATATATATATATATATATATATATATATATATATATATATATATATATATATATAGATATTATATACATATATATACCTATATATATATATATATATATATATATATATATATATATATATATAAATATATATATATACATATATATATATATATATATATATATATATATATATATATATATATATATATATATATATATTGGCTATTAGTTCCATATATCTGTGGTCAGTTCTGTTGTTAATCAAAGAACTTTTCACTGCCCAATGTTCGACACTGTCGAAAGCCTTTTCAAAATCTATGAACGCTATATATGTAGAGGGATGTGGTATTTATTTGCTCGTTCTATAAGTATTTTCATACTTAGTAAATGGTCACTTGTGCTGAATTTCTTTCTAAAACCAGCTTGTTCTTTCGACTGTATCCGTCGAATTTTGTCGTCAATCTATTGATTAAAAATTTTAATTAGGAGTTTATACATTAGATGGAGGAGTGTTATAGGACGGTAGTTTTTTTATATCTGGTTTATCCCCTTTCTTGTGTAGGTGAATGGTTACAGATTCCTTTCAGTTGTTTGGGATTCTTTTTTCTTGTGTGTATGTTTAATTCAAAATATGCGGATTACTGGATCCATTTTCCTAGCCAATAATAATGATGTAGGGTTTGCTAATAAGAGTTTATATTTCTACTACTAGATACCATTACTACTTCTCTTAACATAACATTTATCAATTTCATAAAGGAGCTTTCAATACTTCGCTTAGCAACCACCAAAAGCAATGCCGTCAGATTATCATCCTTTTTTCTACAGTAGATCTACTCTGAATGAGCATATTAAAAGATGATTCTATCCGATTCAAGTTTGTCTTGGGAACAAAAACATTTATCCAACTGAGTGGCGCTGGATTACACTTGAAGGATCATTGCAATGCACCATACGACAACAAAGTCCGGCACCACCAAGAACTCTTGGAAATGATATTTTACAACTTCAAAAAAGAATGCTGTGCATCATGTGGCTGTCTAAAAGTTAGCCTTTTTTGTAACTTAACTTGTGGTGAATAGGCTGGGCAATATTGCCAAAAAAGAGCTCCAGTACAGATGAAGGAGAAGAATAAGACGAAAATACCGATAGTGGTGATGCTGATGGTCAAAATTAATTTATGTATTAATTGATTTTAGTTTTTTATTCATTTATATGCAAGAATTATTCGAAGATCCAGCACGAAGTCCGATCGTAATAAACAATCTCTACAGCCCAGAAATAACAAACGGATAAGTAACTATGGCCATTAAGCGGATTAAAGATGCGAAATCACCAGGACCTGATGGGGTGCATGTTGAAATTTTAAAGCTATTATATTAGAGGCACACCAGATCACAGCTCTTACAAAGCTATTCAACAGCATCTACGGGACTGGTTAATTACCAAAAGACGCTACTATCAATATTCATTCCACTTCTTAAAAAAGCCAACGCTAGAGAATGTAAAAAATATAGATTAATTAGTTTGATGAGCCATGTGTTTAAAGTACTCCTTAATATCATTCACTCGTGCATATAAACCAAATCAGAAGAACACCTGATTGAAGTTCAAGTTGGATTCAGAGCAGGACTTGGAAGGAGGAAAGCACTTTTTAGTTTGCAAGTTCTAATACAGAGAGCCTGGGATGTCAACTGCGATTTGTATGCATGTTTCATTGAATTCGAGAATGCATTTGATAAAATCCCACATGGAAAACTAATCGATATCCTTCAAACATCAATACTGATCTCAAACATATCTCCAACAAAAAGCAACAGTGCGATTAGAAAATGAACTGTCCGAAATCTTCACAGTCGAAAAAGGAGTTAGACAAGGTTAGTAGACAAGGTTAGAACATGGTAGTAAAGTAGTTTTACACGTTTTATACCCACGAAGAACCTCTATCTCATTGATAATGCAATATTTTGAAATATTATTCTGTTTACGTTAGTAGCGGAAATAAAAACTGACGAGAAACAACTTACCTTACTTCAACTCCGATATGTTCAGCCAAGGTTCGGTAAATAGGGAATCCTGGTCGTGGAATTAGAATGTTATGATTCTTTGTGCCATCGGCTAGGGCTGTAATACAATGTTCTAACGAAGACGAGCAACCGCTGCATAAAATTACGTCTCTGGCGCTAATTTCAACACCATCATTTGAAAGATATTCTGCCACGGCTTCTTTAGCATCCTGGTGCCCAGTACTTGCCACATAACCGTTAAATAATCCTTCCTCCACAACAGCCTTTACTGCATCGATAGTCTCATCTGCAGCTTTAAGATTACCGTAAACCGTTGGATCTCCTGGAAAAATTACAATGTCAGTATCAGTCACATCAAGAGAAAAAAGAACTAAGTATAACTAAGAAAGCTTCAGACAAAGAAAGAGCAAAAGAAGAAGGAACAAATACAGTTTTGGTAATGTACAATCTACAAGCTGTCCTGCCAGTACCTATGGAACAAACATTAGCCATTTACTATACATCAAGATTAAATTCTTTTAATTTTAGGATATAAGAAATAAGCAATAACAAGATATCCTGTTGCTTATCTCATGAATGTCTGAGACAAAGAGGAGCAGTCGAAATTGATTCATGTGTCCTGACATTTCTTGAAGAAATCGCTAATACACATGCTCAATCTGACATATTTCTTTATTCTGATAAATGCTGATCAGCAAAAAAACAGATTTGTTCTTGCAATGTATTACTACGCAATTAAGAAGTTTCAGTTAAATTCTACACAATTACCTCATCCGAGGTCATACACAGAACGAAGGTGATGTAGTCCACAGTATCATCGAAATAACTATAAAAAGAGCTAAAAAGTCAGGACCGATATATGTTCCCGATCAAATTGTGTCGATTATTAGAAACGCAAAGAAAAAAGGAAACCCTCTTATAGTAAAAGAATTATCGATTTGAAAACGCTTGCTAACGACATCGGCTTCAACTGCCAGAAAAATATACACGGCGAACAAATAACATTGTCAAATATTAAGTGATAGGTTCTTTTACAAAACCAGCTACAAACAGGTGGATTGGAATCAGGCCTATGCTATAACCGTAAAAAGTAGACGAGTGACAGGAACAAGAAATGTAAAAGATGTAGAAAGGAACGTAGAAAATTTATTATCAAGTAATATAATTCTCAAATATTACGAACCTTTTTTAATGTCTTCTTAGGAATTGTGAATGTTTTTGTTAATTTTTTAAAGGTGTTCAAAAAACAAATGTTACTTTTTAGTAATGCTGAGTAGTGTTTTTATTATTTTTTATCATTTTGAGTTTTTTGTATTATTTACTAACAATAAAATTATATACATAAACCTTTTTTTAAGTTTTTTTATTGTAACTATTGTAGACCAACTCAAACCGATTCAGAAACTATTTTTAAAATATTGGAAGAACAATGACGCAACTGGGAGACTGAAAAATTCTGAGACCTGTGTAGACCAAAAAGCTTATATTATCGAAATACTAAGAGTGTCATTTAAAAGTAGACTAAATTTACCATTAAAAAAGTTATCAGTTTCATATCCAATATTCACTTAAACTTTCACTTGTTTACTTTCGTGTAAAAATATTTTTAAAAGTCAATTTTCCAGCATTTTAGTAATGTGTACTTGCGTTGATGTTGCTTCGGAGAAGCCATATGTTGATTAAAATGTCCTCTTAGTTATTATTTTGATTTGTAATTAATATAGTTAGTAACTGTAAAATCTGTAAAACCTTAAATTGTTGATGCGGCAATTCAAATAAAAAAAATTTTCCTACCGCACCCGTTACCAAATATTTCTCTGTAGTTTCAACACTATACATTTGTATCATATCAGAATAAACCTTTATACTAACCTCAATTAAGCACAAATAGTATTTTTTAATGACTATGGTTTAATTAAAAACACTCAAAATGATTTTGGAGACAGCAATAATATTTTTGATATCTTTAGTTTAGTCACACTTGAGCTACGTAGAGTTCTAAACTTTGAGAAAATTTTTGTACGAATATAATTTATATTTGTAACAATTTAAGATTGAAATAGACACAATTGGTATAGCTAGTAACGCAAAATCACTAAAAATATACTGACCTATAGATAGCGCAATGACAGCTTTATCTGGATTCGGCTGCAAATCCAAATTATCGACAATTTCTCTTATGAAATTTCTTGTGTTCTTTGCAGCAGTTGAAGCTTCAATCCTCCAAATTTCTACCTTTGGATCTTCTATAATACTGACACTTGCTGTTTTCTCTAATTTACGGTCGTACATGCTCACACAAGAATCTCAAAAACCAATTGTGCGCCACTTTTGATGTAAAATATGAACTCAACAAATGTATATCTTTATCAAGAGTTAAGTGATATCTGACGTTCTTCGGAGTGTTACTCAACTATTTAAGACGTTTTGTTATGTTTATTTTAGATGGTGATACGCAAATCAATATTTTATTTTGCGGAAATTAAACATTGATTGGCATATTGGAAACTAGGGAAATTATGCAGATTTTTTCCCTTGATACCTGTAAGATTTTGCTCTATTGTGTTTACTTTTAATATCTAGAATGTTCTCGTATAGTTCAAACATTTTTTAATTATATGTAAATATAATGTTATTTATATATTTAAGTCAATGTACATATCTAATCCTTAGGGTTCAGGAAGAGAGGTCGCGATATATTTTTTTACACCCTATTTTTAAAGTTCTTTACATTAACACCGATTCGTTACACGTAAAATGGCTGTTTGTAGTTATGGTACAAGATCACACTGCATGATCACTGCTTTCATAACGTAGTTCATCAAACTCACATTTTTAAATCCATTTAAAGTTATGATATGAGAATACATTGATAATAAGTTGCCAGTCAAAAAAAGGTCACAAATATTTTTAATTTAGTTTTAGACAAAAATTTTATTTCGTTCATTTATTTTTGAAATAAAATACGCTGCTCATGACGTATATGCATGTTTTTTTATATCAATTTTTTTTTATTTTTACATTGCATGTTTACAATCTACTATACAGGGTGAGTCATAAGGAACTTTACATAGTTCTACCATATGTAGAGTCCCTCAGGGAGCATATCATGTGGCCACTAAAAAATGTCAACTCCTCTTCTTTATTAATTAACATTGTGATTTGTGTAATTGACCATTTATTTCATTTTACTGTAGTGTTTATACGGCTCATTTGATTTTTTTAATTTTTGCATGATACAGTACACTACTATCAAGCATCCGACCGGTATTAGCTAAACTAAAAAATTCCAGGACTGGCTTTGGAAAAATTAATTTAGGGATTCGTATTAAATATTACACCCTGTATATATATTTTTTTAAAATGCAATAAGTGGTTTTCAAACTACATAAATAGCCATCATAAAATCAATTGTTTTTCAATTTTAAATTTTTACTCATAGATCGTATTGGGGCATTATTTTCGATAAATAATAAATTAAATTTATTAAAAAGTCAAACCTCTTGTATGTGTTAGTTTTTGTTGATTGTAAATGATTAAAATTTTATGTCAAATAATAATACATTGCATAACTGTACTAAATAAAAATAAATCTAAAAAAGTTTAAAATGAAGGTTGGCGTTGACCGTTTGACGTTTCTTGATATTTTATACCCATTGTCTTTATCAATTGTTATTTATGTGTACAAGAATACATATTTCTTCTGTCATATCTACGTTAAGTACATTGTGTTAGTTTTGGTAGAGCTTTTGTTACTTTCGTTCAAAATGCCACATCAGTTTTCGACCACAGAATATGCAGACATAATATGTGTTTATGGATTCTGTAATGGGAATGGTAGGGCTGCTAGTAGAGAATATCGCAGGAGATTTCCTAATCGTCGAACTCCCAATCATCCAACATTTGGGTCAGTTTTTAGTTATTTGCGAGAAAATGGCACTTTTCCTAGTATAACACCAGAGCGACATGTAGATGAAGCGCAGGAAGATGACATTATGGACGCCGTTACTATGAACCCTACAATAAGCACTAAACAAGTAAGTCGAGAACTCAATGTTACTCAATCAAAAGTAAGTAGAGTCTTACAAAAAAATAATCTATACCCATATCACATTCAAATGGTTCAGCGACTACATGCTGAAGATGAGATCGATAGGTTGGAATTTTGTAGATGGATTAACAATAATCGACCAACGCTATACAGGACACTATTTACAGATAAAGCCCAATTTACCAGAGACGGGATAAATAATTCATGAAATTCACATGTGTGGGCAGAAGAAAATCCCCATGCTATTCGAGAACGTCGTTCTCAGTTAAGGTTTTCGGTTAACGTGTGGATTGGTGTCATAAATAACCAATTAGTAGGTCCTCACTTTTTTAATGGTCCTTTAACAGGGCAGGTCTATTTGAACTTTTTACAAAATATTTTGCCGAATTTGCTTGCCAACGCGAACGTTGCTATCCGAAGGATATATTTTCAGCATGATGGGGCACCCCCACACTTTTTACTGGCAGTGAGACAACATCTCAATAATGTTTATGGCAACAGGTAGATAGGACGTGCAGGTCCTATTTCGTGGCCTTCAAGATCCCCTGATTTCAATCCCGTTGATTACTATATTTGAGGACGATTGAAGCAACTAGTTTACGCAGTGAATATTAATAACCGACAACAATTAATTGATAGAATTATACATTCTTGTAATACTATTAGAAACGATCCCCAGAGTATCCGTAATTCAATACGTCAATTAACAATTCGGCAACAAAAATGTGTACAGGCTGCAGGGTTCCATTTCGAAAATCTATTTTGAATTATTTTTATTTTGTTACCATTATTGTATCTTTTCCAGTTCTAATTTATGGGTTTATCATAACTATGTACATATTTTTAGTTTTTTTTTTAAATTGTTCTTCGTTATTGTTAGTAGTTACTGTTTTTTGTTGTGCAGTGACTCAGTTTATCATTTCAATTAAAATGTTTGAAATTTATAACATTTGTTTAAATTAATTACCTTATAATTTGATACTTCATTATGGTTGCTTTATTTTTGGTAAGATTTGATCGTTCACTAAAAATTTAATAAAAGTGCGACAACATTGTCGCATATGTCGTTTTCATTGTCTATTTATGTAGTTTGAAAATCACTTATTGAATTTAAAAAATATATATATATACAGGGTGTAATATTTAATACGAATCCCTAAATTAATTTTTCCAAAGCCAGTCCTGGAATTTTTTAGTTTAGCTAATACCAATCGAATGCTTGATAGTAGTGTACTGTATCATGCAAAAATTAAAAAAATCAAATGAGCCGTATAAACAATACAGTAAAATGAAATAAATGGTCAATTACACAAATCACCCTGTTAATTAATAAAGAAGAGGAGTTGGCATTTTTTAGTGGCCACATGATATGCTCCCTGAGGGACTCTACATATGGTAGAAGTATGTAAAGTTCCTCATGACTCACCCTGTATACACATAGTAATGAGTAAATAGTCTGTAAGTAAATTAACGTAAGTTGTAGGTACCGTCCTGTGACGGTTCTCTGAGTATTATTGGGGTAGGTCTTCTGACCATACCTTCTTCAATCTTCTTTCGGCAAGTGGTTGGGTGAATAAGTTATTTATCAGTTCGTTGTTGTAATCAGTGGTGCGATTTTTATATTTTATTGAGTGATTCTTTATTATGTCCTTAAGTAATAGGATGTCCAGATCATTGTGAAGTGTTTGGTTAGATACATACCACGGAGCTTTACTTATAATACGGGGTATTTGGGATTAGAATGTTTGAAGTATCTTCGTATATGAAGGTTTACTGCAGTCCCATAGTTCTATTCCATATGCCCAAACTAGTATAAGTATAGCTTTGTACAGAAGAAGTTTATTTTCAAGAGATAACTGAGACCTTTTGTTAAATAGCCAGGTCATATTTTTTAGTTTAAGATCTAGTTGTTTCCGTTAAGTTTTAATGTGCGTTGTCCATGTAAGTTTTTCATCCAGGTGCAATCCCAAGTATTTGACAACTTGTTTTATAGGAATGGGGGTATTATTAATATAAACTAGTGGACATGTAGATTGGCTTGTTGTAAAAGTAATTCCATCCTTAAGCCAGTTTTGTAATTGATCTTAATGATTTTGTACTTTTTATGATGCTACATTAGGGTCGACATCCACTGCTAAGATTCCCGTGTCATCGGCAAATGTAGCTAAGATGGTATCATTGCTGGTTGGAACGTTTGCTGTAAATATCAGATACAGAAATGGGCCCAAAACGCTACCCTGAAGTACGCCAGATTGTATGATGTGGTAATTTGAGTAGCTGTCTTCAATTTTGACTTGGAAGTAACGGTCAGTAAGATATAATTTTAGTATAAAGTATAGTTGGTTTGTTAGGTATAATTTCAGTTTGTAGAGGAGACCTTTATGCCATACTCTATCAAATACTGTTATATATCTAGAAACACTCCAGCGCAAAACGTTTTCTCTTCGAGAGTTATTTTAATTATATTTACTATTCTATAACATTGTTTGATAGTTGAGTGTTCGCGTCTAAATCCGAATTGGTGTTGTGGTATAATTTCGTGTATGGGAACAACTTGCTTGATTTTATGTACTAGTAGCCTTTCTAATACTTTCGACATTATTGGGAGTAGACTTATAGGACCATATGAATTTGCTTGCGTTACGGGCTTACCAAGTTTCGGAATCATAGAAACTTGAGCAAATTTCCAAAGCACGTGGTGGTCGTGTGTATTAAGGTATAAAAAAATGCTTATTAAAAGCTTAAAATTTTTATTTTAAAGATCTTTTTGGAATTGACTCATTCCATCATCAGTTTGATAAAAAGTTGTCAAAAAAACATTGTATGGCCACATGAAAACATAGTAGAGAACTCCGTATTAAAAAACTATCCTCAAGGTGTTTATGAAGGTAAGTGCAATAGACTGTTGATTTGTAGATTACTAAAAACTGAAAATGGGGGCATCTTACATGACCCCCTGTAGTTGGTGAGGTTTTATTGACTTACATTACCTCTGATCTGTGGAGTCTAGGGCTAACTGAAATTTCCATTGTATTGGAAAGTATCGAAGACGTAGTATGCTGTTGTATATTATTGTTAATAACACCACTGCTTTTCTCGATAGCTTCTGAAGTAATTCTCCTATTATCAAATCATAGCCAGTAGCTTTCTTAGGATTTAGCTATTTTATTTGTTGTGGAACCTCTGTCGGAGTAAATGTGGTCAGAGGAAAAGATAGTTGGCATTGAGTTTCAAGGTACATTCTTATATCATCATCTTCATCGTTATTAGTATCTGGTGCTGCCAATACAGTTGCAAGATGCTCTGTGAATACTGTTGTTTTTCTGCGTC